TGCTCGTTCCTCTGAAGCTAAAGCTGGAGTTAACAGGAGTGAGGTGCCAGCTGCGTTCCCTGCTGCTTTCTAAACTTTCACTGCTCCAGCCCAGAGAGAAGAGCACTTCACAGATCCAGACCATGACCCCTCCCCCTGACACACACTGAAGCAGACAGACTGTTGTACAGGGAGCTCTAGTCTCCTCCCCTTCCTGCTGGCTCATGGGTCCCTGGAACAAAGAAAAAAAATACATTTCCTTTACAGAGTGAATAGGGTGTGTATGGGGAACGTGAGTGGGTGTCTAGCATTCATTATTGTAAATCTTAGGTTGTATGTGTGTGTGTGAGTGTGTGTCTGTGTATGACTGTATAGGGAACCTGTCTACTTCTGCACCATGGGTCCCTGTAAGAATGAAAAAATTGATGCAAGTCAACGGGGCTAAAAATGCTATTTTCTAATTCCTTTTGTTTTGTGCCATGGATTTCACACATGATGTCCATGCAGGGACGAAATTTTGATTTCAGAAGTGGGGGGGACACAGCAGGCTTGTGCGGATTTGGGGTGGGGGGTGTTATGTAAAGACCCTTTGACACGTCACGTGCCCATCTCAATAATTTTTCCATCCTCAATATATATATATATATATATGTATATATATACATATATATATATATATATATATATATATATATATATATATATATATCAAAGTTAAAAAATTTACAACTCTATTATTATTTTTATTTATTATCATTATTGAAGTGCAGTTTTGGCTGTTGACAATGGATAGGCCATTGTATTTATTGTTTTGGGGCTTTTTTTATTGTTTTTGGTGCAACATTTTCTAACAGGGAGTGAGATTCTTTTTTTTATTTAATTTTTGTTTGTTATTTTTATTCATTTAGAAGTTCTGGTTCTGGACATTTCAATGTTAAATGAAGGTTTATTTGTTGCATTTTAACGGGTGTACTTGCATTATTATGATATATTAACATTATATTAGTGGTTATTTTGGTCTAGATAATGTTGACAATGATATCGTTTATCATCAACAATTTGTTGGACAAAATATCGTCCAGCAAAAGTTGTTACTTTCCCAGGCCTAGTCAAAAGTATAAAAAGTATTTATACATAAACGGTCCCTCCTGAGATCTGGCCGTTATTTCATTTGCTGTGTTAGAGGACATGCTGAACTAATGTTTTACACATGATCAAGTTTATGTCTATCGTATCTTCATTATTTCAACCTCACCTGTGAGCCTCCAGCCTCTGCTCCATCTCCTCCAGGCTCTCGTCCTCCATCTCCTACAGCCTCTCCTGCTGTACCTTCACCGGTCTCTCCTCCTGCATCTCTGTCGGTCACCTGAAAAAAAGATGCATGAACTATAAACAGTGGGAGATTTTGGAATGGAACAAACAGAAATATTTACAGGATGGTTCTAGTATGATTCACAATTATTATTAATATAATGTGTAAATTATTCATTACCAATTTGAGTGTATAAAAACATATTAAATATGTTTTTTCCCTTAAAAGTGTTTAAACAGTTGTTGCATTTCAACACAAAAAATAAATGGAAAAAATAAGATAAATCTAATGAAAAGTGTACATCTTTGACATTAAGCTTAAAAAAATCTGTTGACGATGATGATACTGTTCATTTTTCAGAGCTTTTTAATGTGAAAATATACATTGCAATAGATAAGTTTACAATAAAGTTAAATGATAAAAGTTTTGAAGTTACACTTCTACTTCTACTACTACTAGTAGTAATAATAATCATGATGATAATAGTAATAATAATAATAATAAATAATAATAATTATAATAATACGGATAAATTGTGTCTGAGGAGTCAGTTATGTGGAGGAGATGAGTTTGTAAAAGTTAGTTTTGAGTATGTTTGTGAAGGAGGAGGTGAGTCTGAGCTTAATGCAGGGGTGTCACATGTTCCAACTTACGTTTTGACTTTGAAAGAAGTCTCTTATATCCACTTTCGTTTCTTGACATGCTGCCTCCTGGCTGTGCATAACTACCAAAGAATCACAAATGAACACTTATTCAAATGTTATATAATGGAAGCTGAGCTGAGCTCTGATATTACACAGCGTCTAGTTGACGATGTGACTCAGTACCGGTGTTCCCTAGCGGCTCCAAACTAGCAAAACAACGTGAGCACGTTCTGACTGTTTACAACTTGAGTGACAGCAGCAACAGCCAATAATACGTTAGCAAGTATCAGCAGAGCCAATAGATTAGCTTTTGGGCGGGTCTAATAGTAAAGCGGTTTCCGTTTCGGTCCTAGTGCTCAACCAAATCCATTTAATGGAGCGTAACATTGTTTTTGGACGGAAAAAAGTGCAGGGGACCAAAACTGCCTTTTGAAAAAGTGGGGGGGACATGTCCCACCCGTCCCCCCCCAAAATTACGTCCCAGTGTCCATGAATTTTAAAGATGAATTTTGATACCAAGAACGCGCTTATTTTCAAATGGGGATTTTAGGTTTTGTGTGTAAATAAGACCAGGACTACAAATGCACTTCACAAGAGTCATGTCTTCAAACCAAACACGGAGAAAACTGAGGGGTAATGGTTGTAAGTTCAGCAAACTTCCCACAGGAGGAAAGAACCACAGTAAATCTGGTCATGTGGTAAGTAGAAGCTATGCTAGGGGAGAGGAGCTTATGTAGTGACGTCACATATGAGACGTACCGATGTCTGATTTGTAATCATGCTAATTATGAACTTTTACAAGCTGATAAATCTCTAAGTACATGACTGGCGTGGTCGAACCCCCCATTATTACTGTTCATTTAAATTGCAGTGCAACATATGTGTGACCCAGAGTCTAAGGCAAAGCGGATTAGAAAATAGTGTTTTTAGCCCCGTTGACTTGTATTATTTTTTTCGTTCTTCCGGGGACCCATGAGCTGACCGGAAAGGGAGGAGACTTAGGCTCCCTATATGTCAGGTGGGGTCTTGGACTCCTCCCCTCTCCTGGAACTTCTTGTGCTACTACACATCTTCACCTACCCTCCCCCTGCCACACTTGGTGTGGAGTGTGGTTCCGTGGTCTGCCTGAGTGTTCGCGGCTCCCGGGTCAGGGGGTTTAAGATTTTTGGCGTCTGTCTGATTGATCCCGGTGGGATCTGAGTACCTAGGCTTTGTTGGGTCCCCGGCGGGGCTGGTCGCTGGGACAGCTCCTGGATCTCTTGGACTTGGAGCTCCCTCCATCTCCTACAGATCTTTGGGGGGAGATATGTGGCCCCTCCCGCTCTCTATTGGACGCTCCTATAGAGAAACCTTACATATACAAGCGCGTATGTACACACAGGTGCTCACGTGGTGCTCTCATAAGTATAGACTTGGGCATTTTCAAGATATGTCTTAAGGCTGTGGTTGGCACTAAATGCACTGGGATTTATTATTGTGTTATTGTTCAGTAAAACAATGTTGATTTTCTCATCAGGTTGACGCAGTGATAGCTTGCTCCTGTTGTATTGTTGTGTGTTGTTTGTCTCTTTCTGCAGGCCTAGAAGCAGACGCTTGTTCATCATTGATTGTTTTCTTTTGTGAACCCACCTCTTCCTTTCTCTTTCACCTCTATCTCTGTGTCTGGCCGGAATTATAAAGCATTCAAAAACAATAATAATAAAGTTTTAAGTATCAGGCGTGACCTTAAAAGCAGACGCTTTGATGCTCCACCTGAGAGTAAATCTGTAAGGCTTGTCACCAGCATTCAGACATGAATTCTGTTTGCTTCACAGCCAGACAGGACACAGGGGGAGTAAATACATTTCTGTCAACGGTTCAACCTATAGAAGATGTTTTCTAATCCTCTTTGCCTTACGCCTTCAATCACACATATGATGTACTTTGTTTGTTTGGACTATGTCTATTATGTACATTGAGTTTTGTTAGCTTGTGAAAACCCATCAAATTTACTACAAATCAGAAGTGGCAAATACAGTAGACTGATTTGGCGAAACTAAATGAAGTCAGGCTGCTGCCATTATTGCAGCGGCCGATTCCAGTAAGGTAACCATAGGCACTGTGGAAGAAGTGGGCTTTGACAAAAAGAAGCAACAAGTGGAAGTTGTTTCTTAAGTGACCATGTCTAGAAAGGCTGGGAGGACATATGTAGTCATCGGCTCTTCTACGTACAGCAGAAAACTGTTTAATGCAGTATATGATGTTTGGTCGAGTGTAAAACACAATGGGCCGTACTGAATACAGTCATAGCGGTAAAATGAAGCCCCTGCTTTGTTTCCCTGTGTTGCCCAACATTTTGATATTTAGTTGAAATAAAATGTTTGTTTTTTTCTGAGCATAACTGCCTTTCTTTCTTTTATGAATTTGAGTAGGACATGGAATGAATTACTGCAGTATTTGGGTGTATTCTGAGCTGATCCACTTTCCCTAGCCACTTTCAGTTTTAAAACAAATAAACATTCAATACAATTACATTTGAATTAATTTTTAATATTTATTTCAAACAAGCAGACCAGTGACCCACTAATATTTAAACAATGCAATTAAGCGATTTCACTTAAATTAGAAACATTTCACCTGTTTAGGCTGAACGCACATTCCCTCTGATCCACGTCAACCTGAACTGGTCACCTGCTTGTTGGTATTAATTTGATTTACCTTCATCAGTTACTGGAGGCCACTGTCTACCAAAATCAATCCAGTTATTCATCATTATGTTACTGAGGCTGGTCTGTTAAGAATGAGCACAATGATTGAATCACTTAAGGATGCCTTAGTTCATTTATTATTGGTCAGACCATGGCGGTTATGTGGCACAATCGTGTCCTTTTGACAAAAGATTAAACAATGGTGGTATAAAGGGGGTATGGGGTGGTCTCTGTGCTGCTGTGAATGTCCGTTGATCTTGGAAATAATGTGCTTTTTATTGTGATCAAAGCCACGCTTATTAGGTTGTTTTGACCAGTCTGTCCTCCACAGTCCCCAGGCACTCTCTGGTGGTCTGACTTCCAGCTCTAATGGAGAAAAGCTCTAGGAGCACTGCATTGCTCCAGTTTGCCATCTCAGCTGATTCTGTTCACCAAAGCCAAACTTTCAGCCCGCATTTATTTTTATTTCACTTCTTGCTATTTGAGGAGAATAAGAATAATCCTAAATTTCTTTTCAGTACAGTTGCCTAACTTACACAGAATCATAGCGGAGCCATCTATTCCCTAAGCCCTGAGCAGCAACGACTTTATGGGATTTTTCACGAGTAAAATTAATTCTATTAGACACAAAATCATTAGCATCCTCCCTAATGCGATTTCTTCTTCCTCAGTAAATGAGGCAGCATCAGAGGTGACTGTAGAACCTCATCTGTGTTTGAACCGTTTTGATCCAGTTGAGCTTTCAGAGTTATCAAAAATATTAGCTTCATCTAAACCTTCAACTTGCATTTTGGATCCAATCCCAACCAAATTATTTAAAGATGCATTTCCTGTGGCTACTGCCTCCATTCTAGAAATAATCAATCTATCCTTAGTAAATGGATATGTACCACAGGATTTTAAGGTTGCTGTAATCAAACCTTTTTGAAACCTTCTCTGGATCCAGATGACCCAATGACTTATAGATCAATATCTAACCTTCCATTTTTATCCAAAGTCCTGGAGAAAATAGTGGCCATCCAAGTATGTCACCATTTAAACACTAATGCTCTGTTTGAGGAATTTCAGTCTGGTTTTAGAGAGTATCACAGCACTGAAACTGCATTAGTGAGAGTTACAAATGATATTCTCATGGCCTCGGATAAGAATCTTGTGTCTGTTCTAGTCTTGTTAGATCTCAGTGCTGCCTTTGACACAGTTGATCACAATGTTCTTTTAGAAAGACTTGAACATGTTGTAGGGATCAAAGGAACAGCACTAGGCTGGTTTAAATCCTACCTGCCTGAAACATTTCATTTTGTAAACGTACATGACAAATCTTCTTCATACTCCAGGGTTACTTGTGGAGTACCACAGGGTTCAGTGCCTGAACCAATTCTTTTTACTATACATTTGCTTCCAATTGGTGAATGTGATGGACAGCATGGGATAAACTTCCACTGTTATGCTGACGACACTCAGTTATATCTATCCATTAACACTGATGAACCTAATCAGTTAGGTAGATTACTGTCATGGTCTGTGTCTGCATCTGTGTCTTCCTTCATTTGTCTCCTGATGTTTCTCCATCCCTCTCTGGAATCCCTTCTGCATCTCATAGCGCCCTCATGTGTCTTTTATCTGCGTCTCAGATAAGTGTCTTATGTTGTTACCATTTTTAATCATTCCTCCCAAGTCAGCTCCAGCCTCTTTGTCCCCAGCTCACTGTATGTGTGTGTGAGTGTATGTTTGTGTGTGTGTGTGTGTGTGTGTGTGTGTGTGTGTGTGTGTGTGTGTGTGTGTGTGTGTGTGTGTGTGTGTGTGTGTGTGTGTGTGTGTGTGTGTGTGTGTGTGTGTAAGTGTGTGCCAGCTCTTTCTTCTCCATCCCCAGTGAGTCATGGTGAATGGCTGCTTATACTGAGCCAGGATTCTCTGGAGGTTTCTTCCTGTTAAAAGGGAGTTTTCCTCTCCACTTACGCTGCATGCTTGCTTATGGGCCATTCCCATCTGTACCGGGTCGGCCCGTGCCGGGTAGCCCCAGTCGGCCCCAGCCTGGCCCGGTTGATTCCACACATCCTTGCCTTAAGCCCTTGTGGGCTAATTCCACCCACCAATCAGAGGCTTGCTCTAATGGAAGGTGTGAACTTGCTGTCAACTTAAAGTTGCGCTTATTTTTCCACTAAGTTTTCTTTCATAAATCCCAAAGTTTGCATGGAAAGTTGCTTACGCAGTTTTCTGACCCTGTTTTGTGCGTAAGCAAGCTTGATAAACGAGGCTCCTGGTGGACGATACAAAACTACAAACAGGAGTGGTTTCACAGTTTTGCAATCTGGATTAGGAAAACTAAGAATAAGATGTTCAAAAAAATTGTAACTATTAATTAGTGAGGGATTGATTAATAGGTCTGAATGAAAAATGGTTGCTACTCCTCCTCCTCTCCCTGTACTTCGAGCAATATGATTTAAATAATTAAAAGGAGTCGACTCGTTTAAGCTAACATAGTCCTCTTGCTGCAGCCAGGATTCTGTGAGAGAGAGCAAAGAAATCTGATTATCACAAATCAACTCATTAACTAACAAAGTCTTAGAGAAAATGTTCAACAACCCACATTTAATTTTTCTAGTTTTCTGCTCAGTTGAATTTGTTCTAATATTTATGAGATTTCCATGATTTACTTTATTAAGCCTGATATTTAATCTGTGTGATTTGGCCGTGGGCAGGACACTGTCTCTATGGGGCAGTGGGTGGGTAACAGTACAGAAGCTGCAGAGGGGTGTGTTAAACTACGACTCTGCTTCCTGGTCTGGACCGAGTTGTTGTGGAGGACTAATGTAGCATCATGAAGGAACTGTTTTCCTTTCTCCTCAGGAAGAACTTATCTCCTTGAGATATTGCTCAAGGCCTTTGATGCCCCTGCATCTAAACTGTTTTAACTAGCTATTTGCCTCCCCCTACAGCTCAAGAGAAGAAAGTCGACCAAGAACTCTTTTCTCTATTAAATAATAATCAAATAAGTCCAAATAATCATGTAAAGCTCAATATAAAATCAATCTGTGAAATGACAATATTAATTACTTGATATTATAATCCTATGATAGTATTTTAATAAGTAATATAACTTTTAAACTACACACTAGACTGATCACACATAATGTTAAGATCACAACACATTCCTTTGTCTCTCCAATCAGAGCTTTCCTTTCTGACGCGTGGCGTGATCTGTGCGGTGTTTTTTGTTGTCCAATTCTGATTCAACCATAATTCAAAACATCTGAATTATAAAATTAATTTCCACGTCATCCTTAACTCAGTTCAAATGTTCTAGGGTTGCGAGCCGGTCACTCGTAACTTTTTAACCACAAAGAACCTTGACCAGCTGGATTATAAAACCTGTTGCAAGCTCCACCTGAAGCAACGCTCCTTCAGAGTAAAAGCTGAACTCACTGACCCTTCAGGGTCCCGCTGACGCTGTCAAACACCTGCCGCTTACCTGGGGGCAATCCAAGACTAGTCTGTCGTACCGTACGCTGTTTCATCGGCTCCGGTACCAAAGGGGGGTCCGAGGACCTGGCATTCTGGATCTACAACGGAGGTCTCCGTCAAGGGTATGTAGCGTGGCAAGATAGCGTCTGAATGTGGTTTTTTGAAACTCCGACTATAGTTTAGAGCAAAAACATTCACTCCCACTCAGAACTAATGCTTCTCTGGAAACGAGAGTTCTGTTAACAACGTTCCACATTACACCCTCCATTTTGCCTCATTCACCACCTAGATCCATTCATCACAAAGTGTTTAGAGTTAGTTGGCCTTGTTTTAAATTGTTTAGAAATAAATCTTCTTAAACTTCTAAACTTGCCTCTCTTTTGACTCTGGGTTATTACAAAGTGTTACCTAATCCCTGCAATAAAAAGTTCCAATTAGGGTTGTCACGGTATGAAAATTTAACCTCACGGTTATTGTGACCAAAATTATCACGGTTTGCGGTATTATCGCGGTATTTTTTAAACGGTGTTGCATATGTTCAGAAAGCATTGATAGTCCTGTTCTACACAAACTGAAATAGTTTTGAAAAGGTTTAATATTGTTTATTAAACCTAAAATAACACAAATCCTTAGCAAAAGTGCAACTTTTCACAAGTAAAGGAACAAATAGCTTCTTTTTCTGGAACATGTTACGGTAGTCAGTGCAGGTTTAAATTATACAAATCCAAACATTCAAAACATAAACAACAAATCAAAGAAACACCACTTGTTTTCTCATATACTTGTTTTCTTCATTATCAAAATGAAAATCTAAAACTCCAGTCCACACTTGACTTGAGCACTGTACAAGTCAACCTTAAAAAATATGTATTTAAAATAAATAGCCACTTTAAACAAATGACTAAAATAACTACTACACTATGTAATCAAATCCAAATGTTCAAGTATAAATGGCATTGAATAAGTAAACAAATCAATGACAAGGAACTAATTGTATATTTCTCTTCATCATCAACAAATAAGATGCTTCATCCAGCAACAGGGTGTCCGTGACACGGTTTAAATGCTGGCAGAGGACGCTGCGGCTGCAGTATATGGTGACTCGTTGCATTCTCCCTCAACCAAAAGTCCTCACGTCATGCATTTAAGCTAAAATGCTAATGTTAACTTACCTTGCACTGGCTGTGGAGACGTGGGTGATGGTCACGCAGATGTGCCATTAGATTCGAAGTGTTGCTGCCTTCTGCAGACACTTGTTTCCTGCACGTTCTGCAAACGGGATAGCCGTCTTCTATTAACTGTCCCTCAGCATTTTTCAGAAATCCAAAATATGCCCATACTTCCGATTTAGTCTTCTTTGAGGGCTGATGGATGTCCTGGGCGCTGCCGTCTCCTCCTTCCGCCATTATTTCAGCTTCAAAATTTTGGTGCCGTTGCAAAATAAAAAGTGCGTGTGCGTGCCGCGGGAACTTCAGCTGAAGCGACGGTGGCTGGTAAGGGTCATCGCGCCGAAACCGTGGCCACGGTAAACCCACCGAGATAATTTAGTTTTTTTAAAACTGGACGGTTATTTTTATTGTCAACTTTTTTACCGGGGTTTACCGCTATACCGGTTACCGTGACAACCCTAGTTCCGATCTTCTGTTTAAAGGTAGTATTCAAAGATACATTAAATTGATTCCATATTTTCTATGGAATCTCACCTTTGATGGTTTCCTACGTAAGATGTAACTATTGATCAACTACACTAATGAATGAAACCTATCTTTGTGTCGTCACTGACTCCTCCACCATATTTAAATTCTAATGTCTGTGGTTACCAGTTAACTTTAGAGTTCATTTTAGAATCCTGATTTTAACTTTCAATGCTCTACATGGTCAGGCTCCTCCCTATATTACTGAACTATTAAGCCTTATGCTCCAACTAGAGCCCTCAGGTCCACCCACCAGAACCTTCTAGAAGTTCCAAAGACCAGACATAAAAGTCGACGTGATCGCTCCTTCCAGACTGTTGCACCTCGACTTTGGAATGATCTTCCATTATCCTTATGTAGTATTGACAGTCTGGACACTTTTAAAAAACAGCTGAAGACCCTTTTTTTTAAAGCTGCCTTTACCTAAACATTTTATTTTCTTATTTTAAGTCAAATTTGTAATCTTTCATCTGTTAATGAAATTTTATAATTGCATGCCTATTTTTCCTGATGTTAATCTATTTCTGTTTGGAGATCATTATGATTTTAAGACTTTATTTTGTTTTTATATATTTGAAGCATTTTGTGATTCTATGTCTGTGATAAGTGCTATTGAAATAAAATTTACTTACTTAAATATTGTGTAAAGTAGCTTTCAAGATCTTCAATAGTCCATTCTGTTAAGGAAAGAAAATCTACTGAATGATGCACTGATCTGCCTTAATAAATTGTTTACAGTATTGTGGCAGACCACCAGGGGGCTCCACTCACACCCAGAGACAGGATGTGATTTATGTGGGAGGAGACTTGTTTGTGTTTTTTGTGTGTTGCAAACCATTGTGCAGATTCGCTCTGAGTTATTAAAGGATGTGAGCAGAACTACCTTCCTCCACATTGATGACTCTGTGAATAGACATGTCTGCAAATGAAGAGTCAGCTACTCCGGCGCCGCTGGTCACAACCAGACCCACACCAGCACTACGGTTTTCTTCTGCCATTGTTGCTCCCCAGACTTTTGGCAGCACGATCCTCAGTCTTGGTTTGCTCATATCGAAGCACAGTTTGCCCTGCGTTGGATTTCTGCTGACGTCATGAAATAACAACACATGGTCGCTTCAATGGATCCTTTCTCCACCTCAAGGGCCATGAGCTCGATTGGAATCCTCCGGCTAAGGAAAAATACACAACTGTGAAGCAGCTGCTGGAAAGACGTTTCTCCCAAGGATCCTCTTGGCTACAGGGAACTTCACAACTCAGGAAGTGGTACCAGTTTCCCCCAAGACTGAACCTGCAGGCTTCTCTGTCTGGACCAGCCAATGCTTCCAGGGTGGCCGGGAAAACCAGCCGTGGATGCCGGGAGGCTAGTCTTGTTCTTGGAGATGGGCTTCTGCGGCCATTTTACAGCGCACTCAAGCAGAAGAAGGCCAATGACAACGTGGAGTGGGACCCGGTCCTCCTGCAGGCTTTCAGAGAGGCCAAGGCTGCATTAGCAACCACTGCCATGTTGGCCCACATCTGCCCAGCTAGGGCTGACTACTGACGCCTCGGGGGTGGTGGTGGGAGCGATGTTGGATCAACAACTCTCTGGCACTTGCTTGCTTTTTCAGCCGCTCGTTACGTGATGCTAAACATAAATATAGCGCTTTCAACAGGGAGCTGCTTGCGCTCTATTTTGCCGTATGCCATTTTTGTTAATTTTCTTGAATGCTGCTAGTTTAATGGGTACGTTGATCACAGACCTTTGGTTCATGATGTCCAAAACATCAGAACCATGGTCTGCGCCTCAGCATCTCATTACAACAGACATTCAGCACGTGGCTGACAAGGTCAAAGTTGTTGCTGTCTTTCATGCATGTCGATCACTCCAAATTTTGTGGGCATCAACTTTTCAGCTATGGAGGTTGGGTTGTGCACAGATGCTGACATCCAGGCACTCTAAACTACACCAACGGGTTTGAAGCTAGGCGAGACCCAGTTGCAAGAGGGCCAGCCCGCCTTTATCAGCAATTTCACCTTAGGCCAGCCCTGTCCCGACATCATGGGGGCGCTCCCATGTTTTGGACTTCCTGCATTCACTGTCCCACCCATGGGGAGGTGAGTGGGCCGCAGCATTCATACCGTGACAATGCGCAAAGGTCCACAAACTAAGAGCCCGCTGGAACCTTTCCCATTCCTGGCCATCATTTTGATCATGTACATGTAGACCTAGTGGGCCCCCTTCCGATCTTGGTCAAGCAGACCACATGTTGGCCGGAAGTAGCCCCCCTGCTGTCTCAAAGGTGGCCCAAACTTTCATGTTGGCCTGGGTTGCTCGTTTTGGCCCACCTTCGGACATCACCCCAGACAGAGGTCCACCTCTGCATCACCCACAGTCTAACAGGTCGTGCAAGCGATTCCACCGGTCCCCGAAGCCTGCGCCCCGGGCCGCCCTGTCGGATACTAACTGGGCTGACCACCTGCCGTGTCCTCCTAGTCCTCTGTTCTGGGGTTAGGGAAGACCTTGGTGCATCCCCGGCTGAACTAGTCTTTGGCCAACCAGTATACGTGCCAGGAGTTTTTTTCTTGAGTCCCCAGTTATAACACTGGCTCAGGGTAGAATGGGGGGGGGGGGGGGGTTGTTTCACTCAATCGGCTCTAAGAGCTTCATCGTTCACGACCTGACACATCACTAGTGTGGCTGTCAGAGATCCCTACACTGCTGTGCTTCAGTCAACCACATTGTAGTAACACACCACTTTACAAGCTCAGTAATGGAATTGCAACGATGGGAAAGGTAATTAGAATACTTCATTACCTTAAAAAAACAGTGTAAGTAACACTGTTTAACTTAAAGGCTGTTAGTCCCAACACCGATGGTACTCCGGGGTCTATGATTATTCATTTCCCTTTGACTGTGTGGATGAGATACTCGTAAATAAATGACCAAATAAATAACGGTTTACATAAAGAATCACGGAGGAACATAACAGCGTTTGAAGATGTGTTTATTCTGCCACCAGAACTGGAGCAGAACGAGTACAACAAACATTCAAAAGAAGACCAGGGCAGTTACATAATTAGCCCCCCCCCACTACTGAAATAAAAAGGCCAATGGTGACTTAAACTAGGGACATAAATGAAACTAACAGTGGGAGTAGGTGAGCAGGTCCACTCATTTCACTAGAAAGCTAAGACTCTAACATTTAGAACATTTGTCTAGTTATAGATATACTCTCAAGTATGTATGTTTAATAAAGACAAAACCAAGTTTTAGGGCACACAACTACACAACTGATGCAGATATATTAATAGCTGTACTCCTCTCAGGTTGAGTGTTGGTTAAGCATAGAAATGTTAAGCACCACAGCATCAGACATCACTGGCATTGAGAAGAATTATTCACGTTCAGTTCCCAACAGTAACAACAACAGCAGAGAAGTCTGGATGCAGCTGTACAGATGAATGAAGGCATTGATGCTTTATACCAGGAATACATTGTAATACACACGCTATTCTCACTCTATGTCACTTTGAAGTCCTAAAGCTTAAAAACAGAAACAGAAAAGTCCAGAGGGGGCAGCAGCAGCTGTGATGGAAGAGCCATTGTTCTTCTGAGCGAGAAGCCCATCGTGTCCAGATGGGTTAATCATGCACAAGCTTCAGGAGAACTACAACTTAAAGAACACAGATCATTTGGGTGTCTAGGCTGCAAACACGCTTCGTAGCTTCAAAAAAAACAAAACAAAAAAAAAAACGCACACATGAAGTAGGCATACGTAAAGTACATTTCTCTCTGAAGAATTTTTTAAATAACAAAGAAAAAGCTTAAAACCCATCATAATCCTTCTTGTCTTTTTTGCCTTCTCCCTCAAAGCTGTCTGTTCCATCGCTGTTGTCACGGCGACGTTTGCGGCTGTTGCGGATGTTGAAGCGGGAGTTCGTCTGTGGCAGTGGGTCCATCCCAAGAACTTTATGGATCTGACGGAAGGCCAGCAGCCTCAGAGCAAACTGCACAAACAATAAAACCAATACAGTCACAAGAGAGAAGGGAGACGGCGTACAAATAAAAATACTAACCAGGAACTTGACTTCACATCCCAGTATCAGGATTACTGGCTAGGGAATGTCTGGACAATGTCAGCATGTCACCCATACAATGTGCCAGAATCGTCGAAAAAGGCTGGACAATGTCAAAGTCCAGGACCATCATTTATCAAACGTTCATAGAAACGGTCCTATATTCCTTCCTACAAATGAAATTTAGAATGAACAGAATAGAATGTGTATAAACAATCAAAAAACCTTCTCTCTGAAACATGTGATGGCCCCTCGTACGCACGTTCCTCCGCAATCGTCTGATGATAAATCCCACCTGTGCGTACCCAGGTGCTCGTGTCCGTTCACCATCATTTACATACAGAAACGCCCTCAAGTAACCATATTTGGTCATGCTACGACCTCAGCACGTGAGAACATTCCCTGGGTTTTCCCCGAAAAACAAAAATGTTTATGAGATTGAGACTCTGGCTGCTGAAGTGCAAAAGAACCAAAGAAGTTGCCGAGGTTATAAACGCGGTCAGGGCAGAGGAGAGGTCTCTGTCAGAAATAAATATATAACTGAATCTGATCATTTGTAGAGTAACGGGTTGTCTTTTAACATTTAAGAAGTCGTTCTGTTTGATGTTAGTTTTATTTGTAAATGTTGTCGGAGAGTGCAGCCTCTTCTGAGCTGTCGGTCAGTCTGGTTACCATGGCAATGCATATACGATTGGGGGCAGAGATGGTTCTGGGGGGTTCTCGTAGTTGTAAAATAGAATATGACTTGGTATTGGATGTAGGCGCATATCTGTCGCTCCACAGTGGGTCCCAAATCCCAGCACAGCTCCAGACGGATCAGTGCGCTCACGGAAACGCGTTTACTCCCTAACCCCGCTCTGACAAAGCCTTAATAAGAAGAAACGATCTGTTATGTAGCGCATCTCAAGCAAAACTAAGAGGCAGTAAAGGACAAAAATATAATTAAATTTAATTAAAAATTATATTTATGAATTAAAAAGGATTAAAAACATCATAAAATGGGAAGAGTTACACTTGTGATTACAAAAACACAAAATCCATTCTACAACGTCAGATTCCCGTCGAGTGTTTTAGCACCAATAATGTTACATAGCTGTTTTTCCACTGAACTTATTACTTATTGGGTGAAATAATTTGTGGATGAGGAACATGTGTGGACCACTCAGACCTTTAGTGTTGCGGTTGCTCCGTTCTACCACTAGATGCTGTTCCTACGCATGGTCTGACGTTTTCTTATATTTAGGAGAGTTTTCACACACAGGTACAACATGATGAATAAATGAGGCCCCAGGTTGTTGTCAATGTCATGCCCATCTTTTGTCCAGGCATTTCTTACAAAGGACAGATAGGGTGAAGTTATAGTCCTTGACCACTAGATGTCAGTGTAAGACCACAAGTCAATTGTCAGACATGTTTTCCCTTGATTCCCTAACCTTAACCCATATAAGTGCAATATAGCCACAGGGTTAGCAATAGCGGTCGACCGATTCATCGGGCCGATATTTAGCATTCTTTCATCATCGGCCGATAAGCCTCTTTAGTAGAGCAGATTTAAAGTCAGGCACCTCTGCGGGCAGCCCACTAATGCTGGAAGCCGGTGAAGGACCCCGATCCAAAACACTGGAAGTATTTACCTCTGAGTAAAAGGTAAGACTTCTCTTTGGTGTTTCAAACCCTACAGCTGTGTGTTTAGTGTGAATTAAAAATAAAACATTAAATAAAAGTTAGCTGAGTGAAAGCAAAAACGAGCTGTAAGAACCGCCGCTAACAGGCAGCATGATGCTAATGCTAGGCTAGCTTGTAGTTAGCTTTAAAGACCGTCTGAAACTCTCAGCTGCTTTTAGCTGAACCCTTTGATGCATAACGGTCACTACAGTGGACAGATACTTAAAATTGTTATGTATTTATTTTTGCTATTAAGCACGGCTGTTGAAGACTTTATTGCATTTGAACCCTCCATTTGTACTTCAGTAAATCAAGCCAACATATTTCATGTTCAGATTGCACACTGTCCACTGAGGTGGACATGTAATAAATTATTTGTAAATTACATTTTACAAAAAAAATATGTAAATATGAAATTTGTTTCATTCACACCCATAGGCGTCATTTTAACCGGGGACGCCGGGGACATGTCCCCGGCAAAATTCGTGATTGGCAGCTGTGTCCCCCCCACTTTCAAAAAAGCCTGCTGATGAGGATTTTTGTTTTACCAGCTCAGATCTTATACCAGGGGGTCGGTAACCTGTTCCCATCAAAGAGCCATTATTACCCGTTTCCCACGGTAAAGAAAACACCGCAGCAGCCGCAGCGTTGCGGGTGGGGCCTACCCTCAGACAGCAGAGCGCTGCTCACAACAGGTGACAGCAGCCGGGGGCATCGCACCCGTGGGGGATTCAACACCCACACTTTTCCAGCTGTTTTGCTCACCTCCACACCAGTCTGGTTTCTTTACGTCGCACTCACTCTGTTTGCCTCATCTCCTTCTTCACCTCCCAGCCGATGTCGGGTTTCCAGGAGAGCAGGAGAGCGAGGGACGGAAGAGCTCGACTGAATTCATAATTTTACACCTTGAATTTAGCTGTACAAAGTCTGAGTTTGATAAAGTGAAGAACAACCATTTGCAGAGGTTTATAACTGGCGCGGCGCCAGGTTTTCATTTTTGGGTGGGCCACGGTAATTCTGGACGGACCTTAATAAGCAGAGACTTAAGTGAAGCAGGCAGGTCGCACTAGAAAATTTAGTTTAAAAAGACGTCATAAATGTGTTCCCCCATCATTTTTATTTATAAAATATGAAGTAAAAACTCACAATTTAATTTTCATTCATTTGTCATTAATATGTAGTCTACACCCGTGCGTTAAGTGGACCATCTTCCAGTAAAAGCAAAGCATCCAGCCCACCTCTCCAAATGCGTAAAATGTGCATCAGCCGCTAGTTAGGCGCGCCGCGCGCACCATCAGCTACATCAGCCCAGGCAAGAGCAGAGCAAACAGAGAAAGAATAGAGGATAATTGTGTCTGGATGTGGATGGAGATTACATTTTACATCAGCCTGATCATCATTTAAACACGTAAACCATCACCTGTCTTCTAGTCCACGCTATCAGCATTATTTTAATTGGTGTGTGTGTGTGTGTGTGTGTGTGTGTGTTTTCCACTTCAAACACTGGGCTAACCAACCAGACCAGCGTGTCCAGTAACATATTCATGTTACAATTAAACTTGATTAACCCCAGAGCCACGCGCACTGCACTGTACTGACTGTAAATGAGGGGAAACGATTTAATCGGATCCTTTTCTTTTCAACATGGTTTAATGTAAAGTTTCATTCAGTACAAACTTTAGTTACACCAATCTAACGAGACAGAGCCTAGATTTGTATTCTGAACAGTTTAAACATGTTTAAAACGGAGACGTGCGTGACGCGTCTAAAATTCGCACCTGCTCCGCTATTATGGAAATTAAACTAACAAGATGAATAACATGAAATTATTTTAGGCACAGACAACATCCCCCACACTTTTGAAAAGCTTGCAACGCGCCTGGTCGCTCATGTACGTCTTAATTATCTTTCATTAGACGATAATCAATAAAACAATTTATATAAAATGGATCCAGAAGTTGTAGCCCGTCTCTGCCTTCAATTTTTGGTATTTTTCACCCTGTTGATGGTTTTACTGAGCAGGTGCCACTTTTGTCCTATGTTTCTTTTTAAAACATGTTTAGACTGTTCAGAATACAAATCCAGGCTCTGTCACGTTTGATTGGTGTAATTAAACTTTGTAGGTGGGGAAGGTCAGAAAGCAGCTCAGAAGCGCCGATACGATTACGCACAAGCGTGACGCGTCAACCCGGTCTCACAGTAAGACCGGGTTGGAACTGTTCAGGTTTACGCAGACAATCTTTACATTTAGAATTAGCTTACAGATGTAAAATTAATGCAGTAAAATATAAAGCTTTTTATTTAAATATCCATTCATTATTTCACAAGCACAGAGAGCCGCATCAGATGGATGGAAGAGCCGCATGCGGTTCCAGAGCCGCCGACCCCTGTGCTAGCCTACTTTATTGTCCCCAGCAATTCTGAAAACAAACTGACGCCCTTGTTCACACCTAAAGATGAATACAATTTTTTTTTTAAATCATGGTTGAAGATTTCATAATTCATGCATCAAAGGGTTAACATGTTAGCTCCAGTTTTATAGATGACATTATTTTCCTGTGTGGGAGTCAGAGAAATTCACTCTGTGTGTTAGAGAGGAGTCCTGCAGCGTCTGCACCCCCACCTGGTGGGAGGAGCTTAAGAACGTCACACGCTTCTCCAGTTCTTACGTGGATGACACGGTGAACAGAAACACAGAAAAAGATCTGTATAAAAACGCAGCTCTTGTTTTTCTGTTTAGCGTGTAATCTGTGGTCAGAAACAGCACAGACGTGTTCTGAGTAAAGACTAGATTTATTTAGTACGTAAAATCTAACATCAGCAGTCAGTAACACTAGTGAATAGTTAGGGTTATTAATAGATGAGTGTTTCTCTAATAGTTCTCATATAGACTGTAATGTGCTGAGTTCTCCTCTGCTCTTTCTGCTACAGACTCAACTGAAGATGGATGCTCTACACAAACTTGGAACCCAGGTTCAGGAGGCTGATTACTGGGTAAACCGCTGGCCAAGTCCCCCCTGGAGCTAGGGTTGAACGATTATAGTCTGAGAAATAATCCAGGTTTCACGATTATTTTTACATGAATTGATTCCACATCTGTATTAACACATAAATCACACACATTCTATAAGTTACTGATAAAGTACATGATTACATTCTATAAAGGTTTTGAACACCAGAAATATCTGTTGTTCCTTTTCAGGGATTTTGCTTAGAAAAATTCACTCTGCTACTGATTTGCAATGTTGATGTTTTACCTCCACAAATAACACAAGCCTGGAGGAGCCCTGCTGTGTGGTAGAGTTGCTAATGCTAATAGTTAGCTTCCACTAGCCAATACGTTCTCTGCTGTTTCCTGGATGCTAAACCAACAGCCTTCCCCGCTGCGAGGCGACATGAATGTTAAGTGACAGTGTGACAGATTTGTCGGGCTTTTCTAATCCTAGTTTCACCGTCTGTTTTCTATGAGAAGCTGATGCAGGAGATAGGTGTAGGAGACTATTTTCATGTTCAGCCTGCATTAAACACTCAGTGACCCGTTAGAATCAGAAATAATCATTAAAAACTGGTTTTTAAGTGAACCACACCTTTCACTCATTCACTGCCAATGACGACTTAAGTCATCATTTGCATTTTTCCTACTGTGTGGGCATCGGAACGAGCCCCCGCACTGTGAGAATAAACATCTTAGCTTTGAAGCCGATCTTCATCTGCATACGTCACACGTCACGTGATCAGGAAGCAGAACATCCATGTGTGAGGAGATCGTTTTGGGCCGTTCCTGTAAACAAAAAGTGAGGCGCGAACCGGAAAAGCTTCTGCCGATCACAATTCAACAACTGATTATGAAAGAATGGATAACGCTCAAAACGTGCGTACTCTTCCTGATGTAAGAGGTGAGTCTCCTCTTTGTTTTGGTTGTTTTGGCGTCGACATCATCCTGGCGCGCAACGTTCTGTGACTCTTAAAACAGTAAAAACGATGAGAAACGCTGGCGGCGAAGGGCTTTACCGATCAGGAAACGGCTGGCAGCGAATGAGTTAATTATGTTTGCCTGACGGCCTTTTTGAGTTTCTGTAAAAAGACAAAAAGCTTTAACTGACAGCTGGTTAGGTTAGCGCTGAAGGATGGAGACACCTTCATGAATCAAGATGCTAACTTCCTACTGCCAGAGTCACGAACAAGAGTACCAGAATGACAAGGTATTTGAACGGCCGGACTAAGGGCTTTAACACAGGGGTGGTGGGTTGCTGTGCTCGGCGTTGGGCGGGGGAGCCTGCTCATCAGCACCCCAGCAGAAAAGGTCGAACTCTGGTAACTGGTAATGGTTGTACCCCATGTGCAGCAGTACCGGGACCAGAGTGAATAGGGTGTGTATGGGGAGCATGAGTGGGTGTCCGGCGTGCATTTTTGTAAGTCATTGGTTGTATGTGTATGTGTGAGCATGAGGGAGAGAGTGTGTGACTGTGTCTGTGTATGACTGTATATGTCAGGTGGGGCCTTTGACTCCTCCCCTCCCCTAGGACTTCTTTTGATGCTATACATCTTTGTCTCCCCTCCCCCTGCCACACCTGGTGTGAGGGGTTGTGCCTTGGTCTGCCTGAGTGTTCGTGGCTCCCGGGTCAGGGGGTTTAAGATTTTTGGCGTCTGCCTGGTCAATCCCGGTGGCTGCCTGGTGGGATCTGGGTCCCTGGGCTCTGCTGGGTTCCCGGCGGGGGTGGTCGCCCCTGGGTCCCGGGTTGCTGGGTTCCGAGCTCAGCCGGCTGGGGGGTGGGAGGCTGCGGACGAGCCTGTGGGCTTGCCGATGATATCTCCCGGGACTCTGCCGGCTGCTGGTTGTACCCTTCCGGGGCGATCCTCTGTGCCCCTCAAGGGGGGCAGGGACATTTCTGGTTACAGTCTCCCCGGGGTCCCTGTGCTCTGGGACAGCTCCTGGATCTCTTGGACTTGGAGCTCCCTCCGTCTCCTGCACATCTTTAGGGGGCAGATCTGTGGCCCCTCACACTCTCTATTGGACGCTCCTATAGAAAAACCTTACATAAACAAGCGCGTGTACACACACAGGTGCTCACATGGCGCTCTCATAAGAATGGACTTGGGCACGTTCAACATGTCTTAAGGCTGTCGTTGCCACTAAATGCACTGTGATTTATTATCGTTTGATTGTTCAGTAAAATAATGTTGATTTTATATTTCATCATCAGGTTGACGCAGTGATAGCTTGATCTTGTTGTATTGTTGTGTGTCCCTTTTCTGCAGATCTAGAAGCAGACTCTTGTTCATCATTGATTGTTTATTTTTGTGGAAACCCCCGAGAGGGAACTTACAAGTGCAGTGTGTCTGCCATATCTACTGGAACCAAACAATTTAAATCTTTAAAAACCAGTAAAAGAACCTTAAACTGAATCCTAAAAGAAACAGGTAGCCAATGTAGAGCTGCCAATATGGGCATAGCATGGTCCAACTTTCGTTTGCCCTCCGAAAATCTCCCAGCAGCTTTTTGGACAAGTTGCAAATGGGCTAAGGCACTCCAAACAGGATGGAGTTGCAATAGTCCAGACATGAAGTTATGAGTTTCAAGATGGCGTCTGGACAAAAAAGGTTTAACCTTGGCCAAGCGTCTTAAATGGTAAAAGGAGGAAGCTACCACCCAATTTATGTGACCCCTAAAACAGAAGTCTGTCTAGCTTTACTCCCAAATTAACAACGTAGTCCTTCTAGTGGGGTGCTACTTCATCACAATCCTCCCATGGAGGTGGAATAATATTTATTTAACTTTAAATATAAGGCAAACTCAAAACATACAAAAAAAGATCGTCATGCCTAGAGCTGAAACAACTTATCGATTTAATCGATTATTACAGTAGTTAACAACTTTTTTAGTCATCGATTAGTTGTTTAATAATCACATTTTACCGCATAAAGTCTATTTTTACCACAATCTGACATCGGTTACAATCTGTTCAATTTGCCGCCAGTGTGTGGCAGTAATGAGCCACTGATCTACCAGTGGAGCCGTTGAAGAAGAAACGAGCCAATAAGTGCCCTCGGTTTTCATGACATAACACGTTACTGACGCGCATCTTGCTGTGAGAGATGGCGGAACAAGAAGAAATACGGAAGAAAAATAGAAGCGACAAAACTGAAGAGAAACCCCGGACAAAAACCTCACGAGTATGGGAGCACTTCACTCTAGATGCCATGAAAAGACGAGTGACCTGCAAAATATGCAAAAACCATCTAGCATGGCACGGAAGCACGACGTCCCTAAGTGAACATTTGAGACGAAAACATGTGGGGGCTGATGCAGCAGAGGAAGCGCCACAGCCCGGTAAGTAACAGAAAATAAACAAGCTAAATATACTACACGCAGATCAAATTTGGGACTTAGTGTTTTAGCTGAGTTCGTTATAGTGGATGTCAAACATGTTTTTTTGCTGCGTCAGTCTACGGTGTTCTACTTCTGATTGACTAGATGCAATCGTGAATCTCCTCCGTGTTGTGTATCATGTGCTTGCCAAATTTAGCACGTCTGTTTATAAGAATGTTCTCGTTAAGAGAAAAACGGCACAAACCCATAACTATGTTCCTCATTCAAAGAAGGACAACTCCGCGGTGAAAAATATACAGACGAGCTGTGTCCAGGTGAATATAACGCGGCATAGTTGTACGCTTTCAATTTTTAAATACAGGAGAAATTCAGAAAAAGTCATTTATTTACTATTAAAAGGCTGTTTTACTGTCTAACGCTGTAAAACGCCTCACAACACATTTTTATCATGTTTCTTAAACAGTATTACACAAAATAAACATTTTTCACATTTCTCTAGCTAATTTAAACACTCCCGACTCAAAGTAAAAACCTCATGAGCTTCTTACTTAGAGCTTTTTAATAGTAAAAAAAAATTTGAGTTTTTTTCTGAATATCTCCTGTTGCGGGCTATTTTGTAGAACGTAACCCTCAAAATAAATGATCACTGTATATTGTTAATTAGTTCAAATAATATAATATTGATTTAGTGTTGTAGTGTGTGTGCTGCTTTTTTTTATATGTGTACTTATTTCAGTCCATTTGTGTTTCTTGTGCAGAAAAAAACAAGCAACGATGGACAACTACATGGGGAACAAGACACTCACCCCCCAGCAATGCATACCACTTACAAACTCTATTCTAAACATGCTGGTAAAAGACATGAGGCCACTATCCATGGTGGAAGGAGCAGGCTTCCAGCTAATGCTAAAAAATTATTCTGGACTGATATTTTGCACTGTTTAGCTCATTTTACACCGCTGACTGTGTTCATGTGCAATAAAATAGATTGCAGTCAACTGCACAATTCTCCTATGTTTTTTTTTCTTAACTGAAATGCATTCATCACTTGTATAGGTTAAATAGCGAAACAATAACAAACGATTAATCGAAAAAATATTCGACAGATTAATCGATTATGAAAATAATCGTTTGTTGCAGCTCTAGTCACGCCATTCCGCATACACTGTGCAATGACCAAACTCTGATATCGCTCATGCTACACAGTCGCTAGTTGGCTAACAGTTTGCCTTTTCTAGACATGCAGTTCAAGCATTCCAGGAGGGGGCATTGCTGCTAAAAACAAGAGGTAAAAAAAAAAAAATATATATATATATATATATATATATATAAGAAGAAATCCTAAAAACAACCTTTAAAAGTCATTGTTAATGTTCAATAAACTTGTGTTAAAAACATTAATTAAATATCTTGTTAAATAATTATATCAGTTTCAACCAGAATAACGTGATTATCATTTTTGCCATAAATGAGCATCTTTAGATCCGAGCATGTTTTCTACTAAACATGAATCAGTGACTTGACTTCCATGAAAGTCTGTGTAAAACATATTTTCCTGTTTTTATGTTTGTAAAAGGGTTCAAAACCGCTATGCTAGGAAGCACGTACAAAAAAGTTATTTACTGGTTAAAGAAAAGCTGTAAATAGAAAAATAAAAAAAGTCAAGAAGCTTGTACCTGAGCACTTGAGGTTATGTCCTCTCTCTGCTGCTCTTCCATGGGCAACAGAGTATCCACAATTTTCTTCTCACAAGGATCTGCCAGTCCTGGTCCACCTGTAACAGAGAAATGGCTCATGTTGAGTTTGAAGCTCTGAAGGAGACCTCCAGGGCAGAACTGTTGTTCATGCGGACTGCTTGTTTTTCAGTTTTGGAGGTTTGAAGGTCTGCAGTGTTAAAGCACCACATTAAAACACAAACCTAGTTGTGAAGACATGAATTATAATTATTCAATAAAACATTAATTATGTTACTGCTGTGATATTCCACACAACACAACTGCATTAAATGTTCTGCAGAACAAGGTTGAACTGGAAATAAACACCTCATTCACACTGTTAATGAGACAGAGAGCCCATCAATACGTTTTCTTACCAGGAAGTAAAATCCCAGAGGAAATACATTCAAAGACACGTCTGAGGGCATCACCAGGGCTGAGGGGAGCAGAGGCACTGCTGATGGCCTTCTCAACCAGGAGCTCCATGGCCTTCATAAAAGGAACATCAACATTCATTCAGGGTCGTGGAACAGACTTTGATTACAAGAACTCTCTTCAACTTGTAGATCATGCTTGACCCTCTGACAGTATTAAACTAATACTTGTTTGGTTGTTTTTAATACCTGCAGCCAAGTTCCCTCAACATCCTGGGAAGGTAACTGGCCTGGATTTGTATAGCGCCTTCTTAGGGTTCTAGAGGCCCCTCCCCGAGGCCCTTCACAATACAATCAGCCATTCACTCATTCACACACACATTCACACACTGGTGGGGATGAGCTACAATGTAGCCACAGCTGCCCTGGGGCGCACTGACAGAAGACGGGCGCCACCAATCCCTCCGACCACCACCAGCAGGCAAGGTGGGTTAAGCGTCTTAATCAAATCAAACTTTATTTGCCCAAGGACCAGACAGCTGCATTCTCTGGTGGGAGCCGGGATTGAACCTGCAACCTTCCAATTGCTGGACAACCTGCTTTACCTGCTGAGGTATTTACCACCTACCGCTGTCCCTCGGAGACGGTATGCTGTCACTAATACGCAGCTGTTCCTACAGTTTATCTGCACATTCTGTGGGGCACCGAAGCATTTAGTCAGCTACCACCAGTGCAAGTTCTCCCACTGAAAAAGATGAGAGGTCTGTAATTTTCATCATAGGTATTCCTCAGCTGAGAGGCAAAAAGATTAAAAGAAAGGTCCAGAAGATCACCGTCAGAGTTTTAAACTAATTATTAGAAAATTATGGTGGAAAATAAGTATTAAGTCTCCTACAAACAACTAATATTTCTTTCTCTCACAGACCTGTAACACCTGCTGTAAGAGGCCCTTCTGTTCCCCACTCGTTACCTGTATTAATGGCACCTGTTGGTCATCAGGGTTAGGGTCGGTCACACTCTAAACTCCGTTACGGTTCAAGACCAAAGAGCTGTCAAAGGACACCAGAAACCCCCTTGGGGTCACATGATCACAAGAATGGTTAGCAAACATCTTAGAACTACACGGGGGGACCTAGTGAATGACCTGCGGAGAGCTGGGACTTAAGTTACAAAGGCTACCATCAGTAACAGGGACTCTTAACCCTGCAGTGCCAGACGTGTCTCCCTGCTTAAGTCAGTACATGTGCAGACCCGTCTGAAGTTTGATAGAGAGCCTTTGGATGACCCAAAAGAGGGTCGGGACAATGCCATATGGTCAGATTAAAGCAAAAGAGAACTTTTTGGCACAAACCCTACTTGTTGTGTTTAGAGGAGAAAGAATGCTAAGTGGAATCCAAAGAACACTATACCTACTAGGGATGTCCCGTTCCGATATTGATATCGGAAGTAATTCAGTATCAGCCCAAAATCCGTGCATCGAGTTATATCGGATGGCATCAAAAATCTCCGATATAAGCAGTCCGTTAAGGATCACATTTTTGCAACCGATGGTAACAAAAAAATGGTCATTTTTCATCATATTGTTTTTGGCTCTTGTTCTCCAATTGAGTAATATCACTTGATCAAGCCTTTCATACATTCCACACTACGGAACAGGATCAAGTGTGCTGATATCGTATCAGATTGATCTCGGTATCGGTCAACACTGAAGGCTGCAATATCTGTATCATAGCAGAAGTGAACAAGTTATATCGGGACATCCCTAATATCTAATGCAAAGCATGGGGGTGGAAACATCATGCTTTGGGTCTGTTTCTCTGCAAATGGAGGACTTTTGTTATTGACCCAATACTTATTTTCCACCATAATTTGCAAATAAATTCTTTAAAAATCCAGACAGTGATAGTTGAGGTATACCTATGATGGAGTTTACAGAACTTACAAATTGGTGGCTGATGAAATACTTTTTGCCCAACTGTAACCAGTCAGTGTCGGGATTGTAGTCAAGTCACCATCTCTAAAGTCCAAGTCACACTCAAGTCTCTAGAGGACAAGCACCTTCATACACTGGCAATCTTCTCAGTCTCATAACACAGCAAGTACCTGAGTAGCAGTTATCAGAGCCTAGTGGTTGTGCAGCGCACCAGGCTAAAGACCTAAGCTTACAGATCATTTGCAGCAGCACTCACGGGGGTGTAATCTTTGCTCAACACAAAAATAGCATGTGGTGATTAGCAAATAGTGTGAGGATACCTGTATGCTCCACAGAAGCACAACTCAGCACAAAAATGGTGATGTTTGACTATCTGCTCGGTTTGTTGGCTTTCTGTCAGACTCTGAACCAGGAAATGACTACAGGCAGCAAGGCAGCAGGCAGTGCTCGGAGAAGCCGCTTACTCTGCATCCTAGCCAAACAGCGGTCGCACTGGCCTGACTCAGCAGATTAGGCCTTCAAGAAAGCAGGGACAAAAAATTGTGAATATGTAGAAAACAGGAAAGTAGAATAAAAAGGGTGGCCAGGTCGCGCTGCACTAATCCGAGTTACTCTGAGTAGTGCTGTTCGGTTTTTCCCTCTCACTTTCATTCTACTCTTCAGGCCCCGCTTTGCCGTGGTTACAAGGGCTGAGCTTTTGATTGGTTAGGGGCAAAGTCACTGGTTGCCCCAGAGCTTCTGGCTGCTGCCTCGCTGCCTGCAGCCATTTACTGATTTAGAGTCCGACTAAAAAGCCATAAAACTGAGTAAACTGTACAACAATTCCAAACAGTTTTTGAGAGAACAGGCCTCCTCCCAAACATACCTGTTTTCTGGTCAGTACCTAAAATGTCTTGTATTGTACGATGTCATTTATCATTAAGGTGAAATGCTCAATAGACTGGTTTGAGGCCATAGAGCCCAGCCCTATGTTAGCCCTGTCATTAGATGTTTAAGCCTTTCATGGTGGAGAAGAAGAATTGTTTAACCAACTATTAAAACAGATTTGCCTTTGAGAGAACGCATCTTTAAGTTTTCACAGGGTGAAACGTTGAAGGACACCTGTGAAGGCTTTAGTCACACATAGAAGTCAAAGTGAGAATTGGGAACAACCCCACACTGGGTTTTCTCCAACAAGCAGCAACAGCACAATCACACAGGATCTAACAGGCCTCATGTAGAGCCAGGTCTGAGCTACGGGACATGAGATGATGTGGTGAACCCTGCACTGCCTGGATACGTAATGACTTGTTTTAGGTGAAGAAGAAAAAAAAGGAGTTAGACAAGAATAACAAAATCAAATGTTTCACTTCCTGGCCACTTTATTAGGTACACCTGTTAACATAAACAGTTGATCGCAGTTCAGGGGACCCAAATGTTGAATAAGGAAGACAAACACATAGCCACATCTGGTGTGTGAACGTTGTAGTTGCAACAATAGTTTCCTGCTGTTGGGATGCCAGCTTTGCTATGAAGTGACCAGCCAGTCTGCACCAAGTGTCCAAGTACAGGGTAAGGACTCATTGCTATTAAGTTTGGTTTAAAACAGCACTACTTTGCGTGCCCGTGCACGGACTATATGATGGGCGTGGCATTGTAAAAGGTGTGATCGGTTGCCCAAGTCCCTTTTCAGCAGGGATGTGCTAACAGAGCTGGAGCTGAAACTTGCAAGGAGCACAACAGCTGTGGCACGTACGTTTAGGAAGCCCCTCAGGATGATGGCATTTTAAAAAAGCATGTATTTGAGTAATTATATAATTTAATGACCATCAGTTGATGAAGTTGTTGAACTCAATTCTGAAGAATTAGCTACGAAGCTAACGACAGTTAAAGCTCTACGAAGCCAACAATCAAACAATGTGGCTAGCAGCTGCGTGCTTAGCCGTAGCGAAAGCGAAAGGAGAAAGTCGATAGAGTCGACCCTTCAAACCACCAAATACAAAAACGAGAAGCCAACCTCTGAGACACGGCAGCACCTGTGGACGGTCTCAGGAAAAAAAAAACCATAAAAGCTGCCGTCTCACCGAAGGACCATGTGAGACAGAGCTGGGACAACTGCACTGGCCTCAGACGAACACACACACACACATACGCACACACTCTCTTTCGGGACATTGTCGGATGCAGGCAGGGCACAGAACTGAACGAGAACCGCTGAGAACACCGCAGCAGCACAGCTAATGCTGTAAAGAGGTATCCTAAGGAAGTTGTAAAATGCATACGACCACTTCTGCCTTTGATTTTGTTGTTTTGTACTTCCAACATTGGCACTAAACTAAAGGCATGTTAGCTAAAAAGTTAGCTTAACAATTGAGTCACTGGATCCCAGCAGACGGTTAGCGGAACGATTGATTAGCATTATTTAAAAGAAATATCAACAACCTTATGATAAAACCTATGTTTGGGCTTTTAAGAGCAGATCCTTTCAGCACAGTTGATCTCTGGAACACATCCCTCATGCATTATTAACACATTCCAATGCTAGGATTGTAACGATTACCGTAAATCCTCTAATACAGGCCCGGGCCTGTATTTGACTCAAGCTCGTCAAGCTCCAGGCCTTTATTGGAAGGAGGACCAGAATTAGAGGCAGGCCTCTATTTCTATTTGAGCAAAATGAACTAATGGTGGGCTGGAGTTTTTGACAATTAAAATTGCGCCCACATTTTCAAAGTTAAACACATTTCTTTTAACAACGGTAGTTCCTGCTTCAGCCCTCTCCCCCCTCCCCCTGCTTCAGCCCTCTCCCCCCTCCCCCCGCGCAGCGGCCGCAAACTCACTGATGCGCCTGCAGCCTCTCGGAGTTCCTGCTGCTCTAAACATTAAAATAATTATTTCATTTTCTGTTCCTCACTTCTGATTACCTTCAGTGGTGTCTGTTTGTTGCAACCAGCAGGTACAAAAACTAACTTGTTTTTATTTGACTATTTTTCTGTCCTGTCTGTTTATTATCTTCCTCCATCTCCTCTCAGTCCTACAGAGAAACTGCTACCTGTGTTCATATATATTCACCTTATGAGTTACCTTTGAACTGCAGTTCTAAAAGATCTACCGACCGCTAAAACAGCGGAGTGCTCTCTGCTTGCCGGCCGCACCGGTGAGGTGCGTCACCGGAGGACAAAACAGGTGATGCGCCCTGATCCACAGCAGCGAAACGCTTCAGGCACAAATAAAAGACAGAAAACATTAAAGGAAATGAGCCGACATGAACGATTGCGTGTTAAATTATTTTTTTAGGTGGCGACACCTGATTTGATAATGTTACTGTGGCCGTGCTCAGGACGCAGATGTCTGGAACCCGTCAACAATCAGAGCTTTGCATGTGCAAGCTGGTTAAGGTTAGGATGGGGGTGAGAGGAAGGTTAAATTGCAAGAGGGTCAACGTCACAATTTGGTTAAATGTCCGTTTTACGGCGGGTGTCAGTACCGACGCTCTGGCACAGCGCGTTGCCCCCCCGAGCGCAGGAGCTCGTCACCCGCTGACAGCAGGCTGCTGTCTTTTCCGAGGACTGCATCTTGCCGGTCATTATCACGTGACAGCGACTAGTCGATGACAGGCATAAAAAGTCACTACAGAGCGGTGAAGTCGACTAGTGACTAGTTCATACAACCCCTGCTACTGCTCCCCAGAGTGTTCTGCAGCATAATCAGCACGTTCTCTTTGAACTTGATTGTTGGGTATTTTTATAAATGTACCTTTTTGAGACCTAAAAGATGCCCATTCCACATCATGAATCTCTGTGTTGGTATGTTCATAAAAAGGTTGAGCAAAGATGTTAATTGAGAGAACTCTGTGCCTCTGTAATTTGAGACGGTCCGCCTTCTCCCCCCCCCCACACGTTGCTTGAATAAAACCACTGAAGACTCTGGGGAAGGGGGAGTCGCCTGGCAGCTAGCTCTGGATGTGTCATGGTGATCTCCCCCCCCCCCCCATTTGGCTAATTCAGTGTAAAATGGGTATATTTGTGACCCAGCAAATGTGATCACTTTTCTCTGTTAACCCATAATAAAGACATTAAAGAACCAAACTTCATGAATGTTTTTTGTGACAAAGAAGTATCTGTTCCAATCACTCTATCAGAGAAAAATCAGAGTTTTAGAAATAACGGGACACTCAGTAGAGCCATTATATTATATTTTTTACAAGTGTATGTAAACTTCTGACCACAACTGTATAAGGGGTGTGTGGCCAAAATAGTTTGGGAACAGCTGTTTTAGTGGTTTCTCTGCTATAACTCACTAAATTCAGTGGTTGGACCATTGGTGCAGCAGCTTATCAGGCTATGCAGAAGCCTGTTATTCACAAACCGACTGAAATCTGGTGTCTTGAAACAGAATTAAAACTAAAACATGCTGGACCTTCAGAAGCAGGATTGAGAAGCACACCAGCTGCTTCAAATGGGCTCCAGCAGCAGAAGACTACATCAAGTCCTGTCTCTCCTGTCTGGTAAGAACAGCAAAGTGAGACGCCAATTCACACAGGACCACCAAAGCTGGACCAGAAGAGACTGGAACAACCTTTCCTGGTCTGACGAATCTAGATTTTAAATTAAACATTCACATTTTGGATGCAGCTGTGTGATGGGGTCATCTCAGCATAGACCAGAACCTATAACCAATGTCTCCAACACCTTGTTGGATCATTGTCACGAAGAATCAAAGTGGGTCTAAAGACAAAGGGGTTCCAGCCCAGTACTAACAGAGTGTACCTGATAAAGTGGCTGGTAAGAGTATACTGCCCTTCAATGGAATGAGAACCCTGTCAACTTTCTTTGTTCTTACCCATCCAGGAAAAGGTGACCACGTAGGGACGCGCTGACAGAGGTCTCTCAGGATCCGGATGATGATCACACATGACTGGAGGCCATTGGCTCTAGCCTTTTGATGCAATAAATGTCAGTTTATGGAGTGACAAGAGATGACAAGTGAATCAGTTCCATCATAGAGGTCCAACCACTACTGTGCATAATGGAAGCTTAACTTTAGTTTCATGTGCAATAAGCTGCCATTCCCAGTAGTCGTGTACCTCGCGGTTAGTAAGGGAGTTCAAAGTTTGCAAAATGCACAAGAAAGGAGAACTTTTCTTGCCATCTTCTAAACTCTGGCCCCAAACTTATCCGGTTAACTCACAAACATGGACTGAGAGGTCTAACAGTCACCTTAGAGGAGTTTCCAGGGACTGATAGAGTTGAGGAAATCTGATTGACTTTGCCCATGTTTTTACTCAAGTAGCAAAATCACAGGAGACTCCTCAAACATCCCCTTTCTCTCAGTCCCCACTCTATGAAAAGTTAAGAATGAAAACAATACAAAAAGCCATTTGTGTGCTAGTTATTGTGCAGCCTTATGGATTCACACATTATTGTAATTAAGGTACTTTTTGAATATAGAATACAAGGATGCCATTTCATATAGTGTTTTATACGTGGAATTCAAATGGTTCTTGGATTTACGATGAAAACACACAGAAGACAATCAGGTATTACACTAGGTGGCATCCTTGAATGTACAAGATTTTCTTCAAATATAAATACTTTTACTTATGATTAGAACAGAAATGTGTGGAAAAAAAACAAATAAATTTACAAAGAATGCGTCTCATAAGGCTACAATAAGAAAGTAAAATGATGTTCCGAACCTGGAACCACTTAGCGTGGCGCAGAGCAGCCAGAGCGTCAAGGCATTTTTGCCTGTCCAAGACGTCCGCTGGGTCTTTCACCATACCTGAGGTTACATCTAAAAATGGATTTCAAGTGTCAAAACGTGATGAGGAATGGGTGTTTGACCAGGTTGGCGAGGCTGGCAGAGAACAAACACATTGCCACACATACCAACATTTCCTGCTGAAGCCGGTTCCACTCTGAAGAGCTTTAACATCGATACAACCTGAACGAATGAAGTTGCTGTTCAAGAGGATGAGTACTGACTGTCAGAGGCGATTTGGAGGCATGCCGAGGTCCAAGGTGAAGCCCAGGCTTGAGTTCTTAATGGTTTTCGTAAATAGTTATAAATATATTGTTGTAACTGGTCATAATATAAAAACTAGATGTCAACATGTTGGAATGCTGTTTAACTAGTGAGCATTCTAGTAGTCATCGTTGCCGGTTTGGATCCACAATGAAAAACTTCTCAATAGCTGAAATATTCTCTTTGACTGGGAACAACTGAAGAGTGGGGGTTTGCTTTGAAAAGCCTGTCCAACTGTTATATGATAAACTGGCTTTCCCATCACAGTGGGCATACTGTTTTCTGCATTAAGTAGCTTATGCTAACTGATTAGCAAGCAGGGATGCATGAAAGTATCAATATACTTAAATATTGATGTTTTTGTATTATGATGCTGAGCTGATACTTCAAAGCAGAGCGTTGGTGTTTTATTGGGAGTTTACATGCAAACGTTGGTGGTGCAACTTGAACTCTGACTGCTAAGTGTGTACTTCCCTCATTCCAACAGATAACACTGGACTTAGCCTATATCAGTCTTAAATATCGTAAACATCGTTTGCAATGTATTGTATTGTCTCCAATGTCCACTGCCACATTCTTGCCAATACACACCCATATTAGCAATGCACACATGACTTTTTGCTAGCTTCTTGTAGCTCATTGGGCGCGTTTCAGTGGCTGAAGTGAAAGCGGGTCTGAAAAAAACGCTAATGGGGTAGGGGCTTTCTATTCAGCATGTTGAAGTCATTTCTGATGAAACCTTTGGGTGAAACACACACCTATCAGATATAAAACAGCATTCTGTTGGAGGTTATCAGGTCCCAGCCTACTTGTTACTGATACTAAAACCGCCTCTGCCAATTGTACATCACTTTAAACTCGTTCCACACTTTAAACCACAGGTATCAAACTCCAGTCCTCGGGGGCTGTTATCCTTCATGCTCTAGTGTTTCTCCGCTTCAACACACCTGATTTCAATCAGCAGGTGATCAGCAGGCTTCTGCTGAGCCTGATGAGCTGCTGCACAGGGGACTCAGCTGTGTTGGAGCAGGGAAACAACAGAAAGATGCAGGATACAGCCCTAGAGGGCTAAAGTTTGACACCCCTGTTAGGAATTGACTCAGTAATAAAAATCTGATTTTTTTGTTTAGTTGGGAATCATCGGTGTTTAGAATGAAAAAGATCCAGGCCAGAACCATTTTATCAGGTAGATGAACACAGTTAAACGTTACAAACACTCATTTTGGTGTAGATTTTCTCACTGTAACCCAAAAGTTCCCATGGTCCAGAACCATTTAAGTGAACTGGGCGGCAGAAATAAAGCCTAGCAAATGGAAGAGAGGAGACCTGATAAAAAGGGGCGTGGCTGCAGTAGGTGTGGCAACGTTTTTGAGATGTGAGAAAACCTTGGTCAAAAATCCTTCCGAGACTGTTGGCTTCTTCTAAATCTCTGATGGAAACGGTCTAGTAGTAGAGCGTGCCTCAGGGATAATAGGGTCTCTGTGCTGGACTGTGTGCTACTAAAACATCCCAGAGGAGGAAGCAATGATTGCTGCAGAGAAAACAAAACGACGACCAGTAATCAAAGGGTTAGATATCACAGCATGCATTCCTGATGTCAGCAGGCTAGAATTTGACCCCAGCAATCACTGTTCATGAAAGACTTGTGCTCAGATGCAACCAGAACGTCTTTACAATGGTCTTCTACTCCTCTAAGAACTGCTGTGAAGATCAGATTTAAAACAGCACAGTTCAGAATCCAACGTCCACATTCGCACCAATAAGATTACTTTTAAATATTTTAAAAGTTTGAATTAGCTTAAGATCTACCCAGAGACCAGAGTTGTGTTCATGAACGAGGATGTCTTAACTCAGGGGAGCCTTTCAGAACGGACGACTTGAGCCTGGTGAACCCCTCACCGTTACACAAAAGGAAAAACATTTGTTTCCTGTGGGAAAATGACATCCATTTCCTGAATGTGAGAAACACCTTAGCACACTGAAGTCAAATCAAACTGGAGGTACAGACGTGGCCCCAGGTGTCTACGTCTAAGTCTCATGTGGCCAAAGGTGTAATGATGTCTTCCATTGATTAGAGCCAACAATACAAATGGAAACAATCTCCTGAAACACAGGAAACAAAATCGAATCTCACCTCGGAATAAATGGACTTAAGAAAATGCAAACACTGATCATGCTTCGCTCCAGGATCAAATAAAGTATCTGAGAGGAAGGAGTCACAGAGGAAAGGGTGGAAGAGCAGTACTGCTGGCACTTGGCTGTCTGGTGACATGAGTGAAGGGTCTGTAATACATTACATCTGATACAGTATTTTACAGGTCAGATGCTTTTTCTGTTGCTCGAAAGAAGACGGAGAAGTATTTTCATGCAAACCCTGATGAGCTCCGACTCTCTAGGGACGTTTCTATCATCTCTTCAATTGACCATGAATCAAAATGCCTTTTGGATGGATCTTATTTCAACCCAAAGATCTCTGCGGAGTGCCAGCAGGAAAATGCTCTTAAAGAGAACAACCAACATACTGCGACTGGTTGTGTAAAGAGAAAACAGGAAGACAAGTAGAACAGTGCTAGTAAGGACATGATGGCTTTCCCAACCTCCATCCCGGCCAGCGTCCTCTCTGATGACAGGTGAAGTCAGCGTGATTGTCACTTGCATCTTTGATTCACTGAGAGATGTTAGAATGATGGCTGCCTCCGGGATCGATGCCTTCACCTCATATTTCTCTGGTGTCACTATCTGAGAGAACAAACGGTAAATATTCTTCATTAAGCTGACCAAACAGGAAGTGATCTCAGTAAACTAAAACTGGACTTTTCCAATAGAGTTATACATTCTAATTCAGAGAGGAAATAAGGAGCACAAGCGTGAAATATGTGTAAAAGAGGAAAATGTACAGTTAGCTGTTTCGGGAGGTGCTCCACTATGCAGGTGAGGAGGCTCTTAGTGGGTTTCTCAGAGCAGAGTAGAACCAGGTTCACGTTCTTGTCTCCACGTAGAAGCAAACCTTTGGCCAAAACTCCAACCCTCATCACTCCCTTCAGGACTCTAGACATGGACAGAGGGAGAGGGGGTACACACTTACTGTTAACTCATTCACTGCCGTTCATGACTAAAGTCGTCATTGGCATTTTTTTTACTGTGCGGGCGTCGGACGAGCCCCCGCACCGCGAGAACAAACATCTAAGCTCTGAAACCGATCTTCATCCGCATACGTCACACGTCACGTGATCAGGAGGCAGAACATCCATGTGTTAGGAGATCGTTTTGGGCCGTTCCCGTGAAAAAAAGTGAGGCCCGAACCCGAAAAGCGTCTGCCGATCACAATTCAACAACGGACTGTGAAAGAACGGATAGCGCTCGAAACACGCGGACTCTTCCTGATGTAAGGTGAGTCTCGTCTTTGTTTTGGCAGTTTTGGCGTCGACATCATGCTAGCGTGCAACGTTGTGTGACTCTTAAAAATCAGTGGAAACAGTGAGAAATGGCTGCCAGCGAATGAATTAACGAAAGGCATTTCATAAAGAACACCTAGAAATACGTTTTTAAAAGACCGGTAACAGTCGACAAAATTAGCACTTTGGGATTTCTTTTGTGAATGTAAAGTATATTATAAATAAAATGTATTATTATTATTATTATTACATCATCTCTATTATAAATAAACCCACTACTATCACATTGTTAGCATTTTATTAGCTTATCTTAGCATTAGCTCCATGTACTAGTTCACAGGGATGAATGTACATTATGCTGTAGGAAGTATTCAGACACGGTTAACACCACTTTCTGTGTATCCTCCTATAATCCTGGCTGGTACCAGAGGTTTACTGGTTACTGTGTAAGTTTGGCGCTGGGTTACAAAACAACCAGTACTGGAAGCTCCCCCTGGTGGAAAAGCAGCACTACTGGTCAACGCGGTAAGCTCGCAGAAATAATTAGCTGTACAGGCCAGGGGAAAAATAAAAAAATACTTACTTTTTCTCATAGAACAGGGTCAGAGGGTCAAACTTAAGGATTTCTAAAGTTATTTAATAATTCTAACTTGCGTACCACAACTTTAGGAGCTTACAGCTTTGACTTACAAACTTCATTGAAGTTTTAAATTGGTGAGAAGACATGAGGCGTTAACATCCTGAAGCACCTTTTGATTTTTTCCACTGTGTTTAGGTTTTAAGAGTCTCATTGAGTTTGATGGCACCTCTATATAAGAAATGAGAATTGAAATGAGTAGATAATTACTGAAGTCCGGTTCCCACACCTGTCTTTGGCTGGTTCCTTCTCCCCGTCTTCCTCCTTAGGGCTGTCCTGCTCTGAAATGATGTCCGACACCAGTTTGAGGGCTCTCTCTGTGATTGATACAATTTTCTGAATGGACTGGAGCTCATCTTCTGAGGGGTAGATGATTGCATGTTTGTTCATGACATATCGGTCGTCAGAAGAGTCAGGGCGACGGGGAGGCTGAGAAAAAAGTACACATTTCCATTTTCCCACACAGCTCACAACTGAAAGGTCTCTAAATCGCTTTAATTATAAAGTTTAGTCCTGAATGTCAGTCAGCCAACATGTTCTAACACAGAGTATTTAAGGGCTTACATGAGGTCTGCCAGTAAGACTGAGCTGCTGCGATCATCAGTGATTATCGTACATATCTACCAAAGTTCAAGACTATGGCTTCAAACCGAACCTCACCACTAAAGTTCTTCTCACCATGGGACCCTGTGGCTGCAGACCAGACATGTTGGGTCGAACTCCAAGCAGACCAGGAGGACCAGGAGGGCCCTGTGGATAGCCTCCATCCGGCATACGCCGCCGCTCATCCCAGTGATGCTGCTCCTCTTCCATACGTCTCCAGTACATGTCCTCTTCATAACGCCTACAAGGAAATTTTTTGTTATATTCAAGTCTTACAGTCATGTAGATAACACCCAGATTATTTTAATATAAGCTACCTTCACACTGCAGGCAAAGTGCTTCAGATCACATTTTTCCCCCACATGCGACCCACATCTGATTTTTTATGACAGTCTGAACAGCACAGATCATTTATGTTATTAACTCGATCCATGTCATTTTGACATGTGGTGCTGACTCAGATACATATCTGATAGGTCATGATTTATCTGGTTGCAAGATGTGCCGATGAATCCCTCACAACTTGGAGCACTTCCACGTTAACCTTGGCACCTTATTTTTGTGTGTGTATCGTTTTAATAAAAGAATGCTTTAACATGATAATTATCATGTTGGTACAGTAATCCCTCGCTACTTCGCGGTTCGTTCATCGCGGATTCGCTGCTTCGCGGATTTTTTCTTTGGAGCATTTTTCAGGGGGAATTCGCAGATTCGCGGTATTTTTCACTGATTCGCGGTATTTTTCTATGCGAAATATCAAGGAATTCTTGTTTTTTTATCAATTTCATCATTAAATGCACTTTTTGTAATAAAACTAAAAAAAAAAAACAAGTAAAAAAATTTTTTTCTTGAGTTTTACCCAGAAAAAGAGAATGTGATCATACGATAATTCAATATAGTACTGTATGTCAGACAGGTCGGCTGGATTCGGGTGTTGAGCTTGTAGGGAGCGTGGTTTCACAGACGCGGAAGTGAGAGCGTCGGTGAAACGCCGGCTGATCTAGGAAACCCCCGAGCGTTCGAGCGTCAACAAAGTGACACGGAAATGCCGGGCTTTCCAGAAGTAAGTAAGATAACTTACTATGAGCTGATAGTTCGTTGGATTGATCGGTAGGTTGGAAACTCTGATCATGAATCTGAAGAAACGATGACTGAGTGGTGAGCTGGAAAGGCGACTTCCGTTTATAGCCGCGGTTTGTGACGTAGGTGCGACATGGAGGGAATCCCCGCGAGGGGCATGCTGGGAGTCCCTACTTCGCGGATTTTCACCTATCGCGGCCAGGTCTGGAACGCATCTACCTCGATAAACGAGGTATTACTGTATTAGAACTAGGGGTTTAGCGATCCGACTTGATCAGTGCTGATACAGACGCCTGGGCTTTGTGTACTTGTCGATACCCAACACCAGTCCGATACTATTGGCGAATTAATCAACTCCCACCTTATACCTTTCTTGAAGAGACTAAAGGCACCAGACTTAACTAAGACAAATTAACAGATGTAAAATATGAAATTAAACCAACATTTAAAGTGAAAAATTAACCTTTTTTTGGGACTTTATTGCAGACTTATATTTTTAAGAATCAGTTCATGGTGTCTGTTAACTTTAACCAATACATGTACATTAGACGGTATTGGGGCCGATACGAGTATTGGTGCATCCGTAATTAGAATGCTTAACGAAAAAAAAATTTGCCTTTAAAAAAGTCAGGCAGTTGAATGCACAGAGCGTACATGTGCTGGCGCATGGTCAGAATGGTACTTGAGCCTGGAAACCCCCCCGACTCCTTCTGGGAACAGTAGTTACATTCCCTTTGAGTCAATTCCTGGGTACAACACGTATGGTATGGGACATTTAACACGCCCGCAGAGCACTCACCAGAAACCCAAGCCTAAGGAGTGATGCTTTGGTGTGAGCTTTGTGATCCAGCAGACAGAACAGAGTGAGCCGTTGACAGTGCAGTCACATCTAAACGGTAAAACCGAATAAGTGCGCGGTGAAGACCAACTGGCAGCAGCGCAGATACTGCTCACTGGGACTCCTTTTAAAAGGCTCATTATGTAGCCACACCTATGGCTGAATGGACTCTCACTCCCTGAGGCAAACGGAGACCCTTGCTTACATGAGCAAAAAAAATGGCCTCCACCAGCCAGTGGGAGAGTCTCTGTCTGGACAAAGCTTTACCTCTGGCTGGACTAGCAAAACACAGAAACAGCTGATCGCACAACCGCGTACTCTGAGCGAGGTTAATGTAGTTATGTAATGCGTACTGGGCACAGAAGATGAAGCCTACTTTGTTTCTCGGAAGTAAGAGGAGGCAGATGAAAACTAGCTGTAGCTGGATGGGATCACTTTTGGGAGATGAGAAGCATTGGGCCGTACTGTGACCTTACAACCACCAGCTGAGAATTGCAAACATGAAGGGTGCACTAAAAGGGCATGCAGGTCCCAGACACATTTGGCAGATGCCATCGCAAGAAGCAGACTCGTCTTATATGATACAATTTCATTTCAATCGATTCAAGTGGTTCAAATGGTGCATTACACTGAGCATCCAGCAAACCTGCCAGGTCCCAAGAAGGAACGCTTGGTTTAATTCCTGGTCTCAGTCTGCGGACCCCTTACAGGAAACAAACAGCTAAAGGGTGTGCACCCAACATCGCCCCATCAATGCCAACATGGCAAGCAGAGATGGCTGCCAAGTAAACCTTGACTGTGGAGTAAGATAGTCCTCCCTCCACCAGTTCCTGTAAGAACAATACCACAGCTACGATGGGGCTCTTCTCAAAAGCCATCCAGTTGTATAAACTTCTAGTGGATGTTGCCCTAGCACACTGAATAGTCTCAACCACAGCCAAAGGGAGACCCCTTGGCCAATAAGCTGGACCTCTCAGCAGGTAGACATGTTACATCCACAACTCTGGGCATGGATGAAGTATTTCTCCCTCCGCCTGCGAAAGGAAATCAGGACAGGGAGGGGGCTCCCAGTGCTCCTCCACCAGCAAGATGATTATCTCCGCATACCATGACTTTGTGGGCCAGCAAGGGGCCACCAGAGTTAAGGTTAGGCCTTGTTCGCGTACCCTTTCCAGTTTTGAAGGAATTATCTCCACCAGATGAAATGCATACAGAAAATGGCCTGTATTTGATGTAGCGCCTTCTAGAGTCCTGGAACCCCCCAAGGCGCTTTACAACAATCAGTCATTCACCCATTTACACACACATTCACACGCTGGTAGGGATGAGCTACGATGTAGCCACAGCTGCCCTGGGGCGCACTGACAGTTTATGTGCAGCAGCAAATCAACTATCCTGATTAACAAGGTTATAAAAGCTCATAAATGAAAAATCACTTTGATGTGTGGGGGAACTTTTCCAGGCCCTCTTTAGCAGGGTGGGACTGGGAGGAGAGTGCTGTAGCCTTTTAGCTGGAAGCTAACCGGAGCCTGGGGCTAACGGTGGGTTGGTTCACCGGCACGTGTCGGAGTCAGCCCGGTTACTATCAGCTGCTTAACGACACCGAGCGGACTCACGTTCACGTTTGAAAGCAGCGCTGATTCCAGAACCCTCAGCACAAAGTGCGTTCGTTAATCTGAGCCAGCATGACGAACAAGGGAAGCGAGCGGCAGCGGAAAGCGGAGGCGGAGCGGAGATAGTGGAATTTTGGGGTAAGGGTCTACGTAGGGGGCGGGCGTATTACGTGAACGGACCCATCTGATTGGCCGCATATCAGAAGGGCTACATTTGATTGGTCAAATAATACTTCCGTGTAAAAAACAGAGCTGGTTTACAAAAAGTTGATGTATGACACGGATGGAAATGTTTGAACCAAACATTTATCGCCGTTTTTGACGTGCTTTGCGATGGGCCTATCGCACGTCCTGTTATCCCGATGACGATAATTTTTTGAGATATTGTGCAGCCCTAGTTAAGTGTCTAGCCCAAGGACACAACGGCAGCGACAAACTGAGCAGTGCCCGAACCTGCGACCTTCCGATCACGAAGAAGCACATTGGGCCACTGATGAGCCAGTGCGTCTAACATCAATGACGCATTCTGATCTTTTATGGAAAAGAACAGAGGGCATTGGGTGTTGTCTTTGGCTGCAAACAGATCTACAGCTGCTCTCCCGAACCACTGCCAGATTAGGGTCACCACTAGCGGGTGCAGTTTCCACTCCCTCACCACTGGGCTGGTCCTGGACAGCAGGTCCGCTTGCAGATCCAAGTGCCCAGGTACATGTGTCACTCTGATAGACATAAGCCAAACACTGCACCACTGGAGGAGTTAGCCAGACAAGTCCAGCATGGGAAGTGAACGAGTGCTCCCCGGTCTGTTTATATACGATATCACTGTGGTGTTGTCTGTTCGTATCAGGACATGCTGATTATTCAGGATCACCTGAAAATGTCTCAGACCTAGCCAAACTGCTAATAGTTCCAAGCAGTTGATGTGGAGCTTGGACTGAGTTAGAGGCCAACCCCCTCTCACCGCCATGCCATAGCAAATGTCTCCCCATCTTTACAGGGAGGCATCTGTGGACACCACCTTTGTGAAACGACACTCTGCCTATCGGCGAACCTCGGTACAGGAGACCAGGCTTCCTCCATGGGCGAAGGGCCAACATGCACGCAGCTGTTACTGTTAGCTTTCTGTGCAGGTGATGTGTTGTGCACAGCTGGTGGGCACGGGTCCAGCACTGAGCAGTAAGAGGATCAGGAGCAGTAAGAGTGGCACCACTGAAATCGAAGAAGCCATCATTCCCAGTAGTTGTCTTACTGCTCAGAAGCACAGTTTGCGTCCCAACTGAACTAGAGCTAGATGCCTGTGGATCGCTGTTATTGTGTGCTCTGAGAGACGGGCTTGGCACCATAGGGAGCAAATCTCCAGACCAAAGAAAGAGAACTGTTGACTCGGGGTCAGTGGGCTCTTTTGGAAATTAACCAGAAAACCCAGATTGTGGATGTGAGACAAGACCTGCTGTAGCTGTTCTGGCGCTCTTTCTCCAGAACTGGTTATTAGCATCCAGTCATCCAGATATGCTAGGATGCGAATGCCCTTCTCTCTGAGTGGGGTGCCACACCTGAAAAATGGCTGCGGGTCTCTTTTTCCAATCTTCCATCTAAACATCTGTTTGCTGGACATTCATCCTCTCATCCACTAAACTACAGAGAAGTAAAAATCTGTCAAGAGGGCTGCAATATCTGGACTTTCTCACGGTCCACTCTGTGAGCGCATCACACCTGCTGTCACAGAGCAGATAAACCTCTCTCTCTGCAACAAAACGCTACTGAACCGTCCTTATTGGATAAATATGACATTTCCACCAACAGCAAAGGGACCTCATGTTCTTGTGTTTTATTTTTTATGTTCCTGAGCTCATCTCCTCTCAGCTCTCACAGATCACAGAATCACGGTTTTCACAAATCAGCTGATGGTCTAAAAATGTAGTTTAATTATTTTAGTCTAATTCCGGATTAACTTGGACTACTAACAGAAATAATAACTGGTGTGTAGTTAATGATCCGCATTTTAAACATTAATTGAAACTGACGCTCAGAGAGGCGGAGTCTTGCTGCTGCAGCATCCCAGAGGTGTGTTTTCATTGGTTGATTGCAGACAGGAGTCGTAGGTATTCGTGCAGTGTTAAGGTTGTTGGAGGCTGATTTGGTAGTGAGACGGCTCAAAAAGCTGTCAGTCGATCTGTACATTCACAAATATGCAAATTACCCTCATGTTCACCAGTTCGTGTCATGACTCTGCTCAGGGTGAGGCATTTGACAAAGACGGTCAAAAGTTGCAGTGTGAACCGGGCATTAGGCAAGGCCAACGCGGGGAGCCAGATTCTGATAACATTTATTGTTTTGGAGCAGGCCAGAGATAACATTTCCTCTCTGCCTTAGTTTTACTGGTCACAGGAGTATCCAACCAGCCAGATAATGGTGGTTAATCCCATCAGTGCCATGCAGTGGCATTCTCCATCATGGTATCCATCATGCGTGCGAATTTAGGAATGGCCTCCAGGTTGCTACAAAGAGAATCCAGCTTGTGATTCACCTGCAGCAACATCTTAGTCTGAGCGCTCAGCGCATGGAGAAAAAATAAAATCAGATTTACTCAAAAAATTGTAGTTGAGCATCAAGGTCTACAGTGTGAACATAGCCTTTAATTCACACATGAATGAGAACCGAGCTGCTGATGTTGAGTTGGACCACAAACCTGTGCAGCTCCCACATGCTACCTGTGTGGCTACCTACTGGGACCAATCATGGCGGAGACTGATTCTGATTTTTATGTACAATGATCAGCATGAGAGGCTCGTCTGGGATTTTCCTGGACAACACCTGCAGCACAGAGGCCGTCAGCATAGCTCGACTTAATTCAACTCTACGTGTTTCAGATGGTGCTTCATTACAACTGAAACGGAATGTGGGGATGCACTCGCAAGCACGGTGTGATTCGTATGCAACTCAAAACCACACCACACCACAACAGTGGTGGTGATATTTAATGATGTGCGCAGCTGGTGGTTTTTGTCAGACTCTGAAGCAGGAAAACGGCTGTAGACAGCGAGGCAGAACACTCTAGATATCTTACCAAATCGATTACAGTCGTGCCGAGTAAGCATAAACAAAATGGGAACAATTAAAACTTCTAAAAAAAAAAAAAATTCAACAAGATTGATAAGAAAATTTTTGTACTGCTCGAGACCGACCTGGGCTGCAACCCTAACCTAATCCGAAGCTTGTTAGGGTTTCAGGTTCCAGTTAGGTTTAAGTTTCACTCAAACGTGTGCCGATTGGACTTTTAATTCATCCATCGGCAAACTGGCCACGCCCTTCAGCAATCATTTAAAAATATTTTTTCATGTCTATAATTCAAACGACAAGAGTGATGAGGTCACAGGCGTGGGTGTTGGTTAGGAGCCAGGCAGCAGAATTCTGGATGTGTTGAAGTCTGGTGAGGGTTTTGGATGGGACACCATACAGCTGTTATTGATGTGGCCCAGTAGTCACTGAATTTTACCTCTGAGGACCCCCTTGCTTGTGTCCAGGACAAGCCGGACCCCCAACACCACCCCCTACAGGCATACACACATTAAATGTGATCATTTACTATTTTTATGCAGACACAGTGTTGTAACTTATACTGTAGGGTGTGTTATTGGCACATAAATGCAAATTTTACAAATAAAATATTGGTAACCTCACAACTTCAGTGAAAACAAAACTGTGGGGACCCCTTTAGGGGCCTGGAGGGCTGCCAGGCTTATAAAGTGCTGGGGAAAACCCTGTGCTGGCTGACAGGTCAGAAGTGGTGTGTATAGAGCAAACCAACTACGGTGCAGGTTTTAGTTAACCGACGCATCATATAGCCGAGGACATTTGAAAAACAGCATTTCACATGGAACCCTCAAGGCCTACTTCCACAAATTTAGTAAGAACCATTGTTATTGGTGGAGTGCTCTGTGCTGAGTGTGTATGGCCCACACCCTGCCCACGTTGCCTGCTGGTGGTGGTCGGAGGGACCGGTGGCGCCGGTGCTCGGCAGCCTCGCCTCTGTCAGTGCGCCCCAGGGCAGCTGTGGCTACATCGTAGCTCATCCCCACCAGTGTGTGAATGAGTGTGTGAATGGATGAATGATACACTGTAGTGTAAAGCGCTTTGGAGTCCTTACTCTGAGAGGCACGGGAGAAGTGCGGGTCATTTATTATTTGTCATTATCACAGAGCGTCTATAATCATGGCATAAATGTGTTCTTTTCATCTGTGGTACACCTCTACCTATCTTAAGGTGGAAGGCTGTGGCGGAAAGCGACGGCTCATCGTGTTTCATCCCATTCTGAAGGAGATCTCCAGCTGAGGCCTCTGATCAGGAGAGTGGTCATCTAAAAGCCTCCTGTGATCTTGTGACAGCCATTTCTTTATGGTCTCTTGTGTTACTTCTGCGGTGATTTGTGAAACGGGCCTTAGGTCTCCTTAGCTTTACCTCATTTCCATTCTCCAACGCTCCTCCTCTTCTCTTCTTCTCCAGTATTCTTCTTTCTGCATCTGCTTCCTCATCTTCTCTTCTTGAATCTTTCTAGCTCTGATGCTGGGTTTGACCTCTACCTGCAGGTCAGGGTTGACCTTTTTCTATAAAAGCAATAAGACAGACCCAACATAATTATGGCGGTCATCTCAGAAACTCGACACCTCAAACAGTCATTCTCTGGAACGGAGAGGAGCTTTCTTAGCAGGGGTCTCTGACACGTCGCTCGCAAACTACTGACAAGGTTTCCCCTAGCGCTTTGCAAGCCTGGCGGCCCACCAGGCTTAACTCATTCTCTGGGGGAAACCCTGTACTGGTGACCCTTGAAGCAGCCAGTGAGCCATCCTGCCTGACTTTATAAATGAGGCCCCAAGTCTTTTCTACCCTTAGCTGCTTTCTGTAGACCTTAGTTGTGGATAATCTCCACAGGTCAGCAAAAGACCAGGGGCCTCATCTATCAGGCTGGCTTACGCACAAAACGGGGTCGGAAAACTGCGTAAGCAACTTTCCAGGCAAACTTTGGGATTTATAAAAGAAAACGTAGCGGAAAAATGTGCGAAACTTTAAGTTGACTAAGGACCTGGCTTACGCACGTGTTGGACATGGAGAGCACCTGCAGTGCTGCTGCTGAGAAGATACAATTATGGATTCCTGCAGCGTTATCTCTTGTAGAGCTTCGTGTCACACAGAACAAGCAGAAAGTGGGCGTGTTGAGGGTGGGATGAGACTCAGAAAGACCTGAGAACCTTTCTAGGTAGAGTGTGATTTATAAAGACACGGTTCGGTATTTTCCATCTACCCTATTTTTAGTCCCTGCTCCGTTGGGGTACCTGCAAGGCTGAGTGGGGCCGGCATCGTGAATCTGGCCGCTGATTGGCTAGGGGGCAAAGTCACTGGTTGCTCCAGCTCTGGTCATCATATGTTGATATGTTTACATATATACCCTTTCTCAGTGGCCTAGTGGTAGAGTGTCCGCCCTGAGACTGGCATATCAGGGTTCGATTCCTGGTCGGGTCATACCAAAGACTTAAAAAAAAATGGGACCCAATGCCTCCCTGCTTGACACTCAGCATTAAGGGGTTGGATTGGGGGGTTAAACCACCAAATAGTTCCCGAGCGCGGCTGTGTCTGCAGCTCACCGCTCCCCCAGGGGATGGGTCAAATGCGGAGAACAAATTTCGCACACACACCTGTGTGTGTGTGACAACTAATGGGACTTTAACTTTGATTGTGTAAAATAATTGTTATATTTTACCAAATAAGGCTGAAAAATCCCCATGCACTGGAATGAAGATATGAGGATACGGAGTCAGTCCTAACCTTGTACTGCAGGCGGTGCCTCCGCCCTTTCAGGTGCATCTCTTTAGCGTTGGGATCGTTGAAACTGCATTCACACAACTTGCAATGAAAACGGATGACTTTGCCTTCATCGTTCCGAACCTGGAAAAGAACGTGTGTGCATGAAAACAGTGATGAGTAGCATACCTGAACGCGTAGGGTGGATCTCATATGTCAGATAATATCAGAGACGTACTTCTTCAACATAATCATGTCCAACAGGTTGGACATCACTCTGCAGTGAAATCAGAGCTGATGTGGACAAAGACTCAGAGACATCAGTTTTGGAGTCTTGAGAAGCCAACGACAGCACTGAAGGCTTACAGCTGTCTACTTTGACCTCCACTCTCGTCTCCTCCATCTTCCCAGTAGTATGCAATTTATTCCCACCTGAGAGGAAAAATAACAGTATCAAACAATCTAAAAACTAAAGTGTATTCTAAATCACCACAATGGTTTAAACCAGGGGTGTCAAACTCATTTTAGCTCAGGGGCCACAATGAGGAAAATCTAGTTCCAAGGGGGCCAGACCAGTAAATTAAAACCTGCTTTTCTCCCAGTCATTGAGGGCGCACCATCTGTAGCGAGGCTTACAACGCGGGACCATTGCACTCCGACCCTGTCCAGTGCTCCAACGAGTGCGGTGAAAATGTCAGCTGCTGCTGTTGTATCCGTCATGGGCACCAGCTCGACAAACTCCTCGATGACGGTCAACGTGTCATCAACTCCGCAGATGGAAATCGCCAGTTGAGCAACATCTGTAATGTCCGTGCTTTCATCAATAGCAACTGAAAAAGCAATAAAGGACTTTACTTTTTCCTTCAATTGGCAGTCCAAATCCGCTGAAATATCACAAATCCTGTCTGAAATTGTGTTTCTGGTCAGGCTGATATCTGCAAAAGCGTGGCGCTTTTCAGGGCACACACTCTCCGCTGCCTTCATCACGCACGTTTTTACAAATTCCCCCTCACTAAGCGGTTTTTAAGTCACTGCAATTCCATTAGCAATCAGGCAGCTAGCGTTCCCTGCAGCATCACTGAGTGATGAGAGCTGTGAGTGAACGCAGACTGCTGTTTCTTCAGTCCGGCCAGCGGTTCATTCACCTTCTCTCTTCTCCGCTGTCCTTCAAATTAGTCATATTTTTCGGCATGAAGACTCACATAATAGCGACGAAGGTTATATTCTTTCAGCGCTGCAACGTGCTGTGAACACACCAAACACACAGCTTTTCCGTTCACTTCCATGAAAAAACAGGGGGATGTCCATTTGTCTCGGAACGACCTGCACTCTGTGTCCACTTTTCTCCTTTTTGACAGAGACATCTTGGGCTGAAGCACAAACTGTAGACGCCGGATTAGATATCGGGGCAAAACGAAGTAGCTCGTCAGAACACCTGTTGCACTTGGTTGACGTACTTGCCCTGGCTGAGGATTAACGGCTTGCTTGTTTAACACGATGCCTATTACACCATCTAGTGAACGTATTGGGAACAGCGGGTTTTTTACTGAAAAATTAGAGTTTATTTTCACTCTACATTGTAAAGTATGAAAATAAAGTTTATACAACCATCTCGCGGGCCGGACTTAACCTGTGTGCGGGCCGGATCCGGCCCGCGGACCGTATATTTGGCACCCCTGGTTTAAACAAATCAGAGCACTGTGTGAATAACACCTTTTGTTTTGCACACTGCTGACCCCGTTAGATACAACCTGGCACCAATGGTCCATCTTATTTAAAACCAGAACTAAGATGAAACGGCGTCAGGAGTCCTTGCCAACATTCGGCTCATCTGCAGGAATCTGTACTTCCTCACACGTCTTTACTCACCAACAAAATTTATCTTGGGTGTGTTGATTTTCTTGCCTGCAGAGGCAGAGCCGACAGCAGAGAGGTTACTAGACACCAAGTTCTTTACTGCAGCCATGCTGCCGCTGACAATATTAACTGGTTTCAGGTAGGAGGCGCTGGGACTGGTGGTGGGAGAGGAGGTGGCAGAGAGACACATGGAGCTGGTGGTGCTGGAGCTGCTCAGGGTAGCCATGGTGGTCTTGCTGGGAGCAGCTGTGATAGAGGTCTGAGTGGACATGCTGGGCTCAGTTGAAGGAATGGGCTTTCCCAGTTTGGTATGGAGCTTTACAACCTGGAGGAAGGATGAAAAAATTATCTGTACTTGATATAGCAACTTCTGGTCCTAGAAACCCCCCAAGGCGCTTTACAATACACACACATTCACAGTGTAACGTCACCAAAGGGACAGATTTTGAGATCCCACAGTTCATTTGCACGGCCAGAGCAAATAACCCTGGCTACTCATGTTCTGCTGTATTTTACCCTGACAGGAGATGGAATGTCTGCACGCAGGCTCTTTAATCAGCTGAACTGAAGCTTCATCAGATAATGAAAGATGACAGAAGCATTCTTGTCCCCAAGGTTCTGCACAGAACTCCGTTAGATAAACTTTTATTCCCGGAAGAAAAGAAGATTTCATAATTAAAAGTAATCATTTTCGCCGTCGTCGTCTTCCTCCGCTTATCCGGGTCCGGGTCGCGGGGGCAGCATCCCAACTAGGGAGCTCCAGACCGTCCTCTCCCCGGCCACCTCCACCAGCTCCTCCGGCAGGACCCCAAGGCGTTCCCGGACCAGATTGGAGATGTAACCTCTCCAACGTGTCCTGGGTCGACCCGGGGGCCTCCTGCCGGCAGGACATGCCCGGAACACCTCCCCAGGGAGGCGTCCAGGAGGCATCCCGACCAGAGGCCCAAACCACCTCAACTGACTCCTTTCGATCCGGAGGAGCAGCGGTTCTACTCCGAGTCCCTCCCGAATGTCCGAGCTCCTCACCCTATCTCTAAGCAGGGTATCTGCAGGTTTAAGGGAGCCAAATTTAAGACTTTTAAGACCTTTTTTAAGGCCACTTTGACCAAATTTAAGCTATTTTTAAAATTAAATTTAAGCTATAATTTGGGGATTAACCATCCAGTTACCATTAAACTTGCACTTCCCCATGGCGCAAGCTCCCACTAGCTTAACCAGCTAATGTGCTCATCTAAAAACAGCCCCTTTTCACAACCAACTGAATGTGTACGGTTCCGCTTACGGCAACATCGTACACAAAAAATGCTGAACACTAACTAGAAATTCACGAAAATTTTTATAGAAATAAAATAATCTTGTTTATTGGGTCTTTGATAATTTAAGACCTTTGGAAACTGGATTTAAGGATTATTTGTCATTTTTAAGGATTTTCAAGGCCTTAAATTTGGAAAAGCAAATTTAAGACTTTTTAAGGACCCGCGGATACCCTGTCTCTACGGCTGAGCCCGGCCACCCTACGGAGGAAACTCATTTTGGCCGCTTGTATCCGCAATCTCGTTCTTTCGGTCATTACCCAAAGCTCATGACCATAGGTGAGGATTGGGTTGGGATTTTTATTTTTTGGAGTAATCATTTTATAATTCAAAATAATCATTGAAGAAATGAAGATATCATAACTAAGATTTTATAATTAATAATAACTAAACATTGCCATGTATAATTATAAATGATGAAATGTTTCATGAATCTGTTTCAGTGATACTAAGTACTGTATGTTTACTGGATTAGGTCATCACACTTGCAGACAGAGTAAGGCTTAAGCCTGATTTATGCTTCTCCGTCTGCGTCAGTGCGGAGACACGCAGCGCCATTATCCGTCCTTGCGTAGGGCTCCGGCAGGCACGCAAGTACGTACGGAGTCGAGCCCACTTTTTTAAACATCCGTCGAACGAGACGGATTACGCAAGCTTGTGATTGGTCAGGATGCCACTGTTGTTTACAGTGCCGCCATTGCAGAGAGAGCCGAGGATAACTAGCGGCGGACACGGAGAAGCTTGAAGAATATCTCGCGAAAAAACTCTAAAAATATGAAAGTTTCATCCTCCCGTGACTGGAGGAGTGAAAAGATGCGCAGCAAGCGTTTTATTTGTGGACGGAAATGACAGGAAACGTGGGTTTAGAGGTGGGGAGCGCATGAAACGGTGGGAGAATGAGAGACAAATATGTCCGTGTTAAAAGTCTCTTATATACACAAAAAACACAATATAAACACACGATCTTGGACCGATACATGACAGGATACCACAGAACAGCGCTACGCCCTCTGTTGTCCTGCCGGGCAATTGCTTTGCAACACTCTCCAGGAGACGGAGAAGTATGAAAGCAAAACGCTTCCGTCAATCTGTGCGTGTCTGTCCCTTGCGGAGCTGACGGAGAAGCATAAACCAGGCTTAAGATAAAGACATGACACATAAGTAACCTTGTCGCACATTTCAGAGTTTAGAATCGGAGACTGTGTTCTGAGATGCTTGGCAACTTCTGAGATAACACCAGGCCTTAAAAAGAGCTTCACTCTCAGTCTCAGCAAGTCAGACAGAGAGAGAGAGAGAGAGAAGCTCAGAACGGCCGTCTGAGCGAGCCTCTTTCACCAGAAGGATTTTGACAAAGTCAAAACCTTAAGCTTTTGCACCTGCAAAGATGAGGACAAGATATTTTTTCTGCAGAACAAAGCTGACTTTGCGACACTCCTTCAGTTGTTTTGAGACGCTTGGTTCCATCCAGTCCACCTGTGTTACCTGGAAGTGATCCTTGACTGACCTGGTTGTACTAGGAGCTAGTCTACAGACTTCTGTACCCAGGGTCTCCAACCCCCCCTGACATTTCGGATCCACAAGCACGCCTCCACTTGGGCACGTAGAACACAGTGAGATAGCGTCTGTATGCAGTGTGATAAATAACAGCTTGTAGCTTACTTGCAAACCAAATTCTTTTATTATCCAGAACTCACCTCTCTCTGAGAAGCAGAGGCTTTGACTCTGAAATACTATATTCACACCTAGATCCAGACACCCATCTCTTAGTTCGCATCCACTCACAGTAAATAATAGTTTAAACCGTTTGTCAAGTCTTAAATTGTTTGTAAAATGAATTATTATTTGTTTGCAAACCTGACTGGTTCTTGAATCCTAAACAAAGTGTTTACAGTCCCTGAATAAACAAAGAATCTTAGAATCTTCTGCCTAATCATCTTAAAGACCAAGCAGGTGATATTCTATAATTAATAGATTATCACAGCTACGGGTCACAAGTAATGACAATAACAGTAAATAGCTCTTAAGCAATTTATTTTATCCAATTTACCCTCTATTGATTCATTACAACACTCTGGTGGTGATGAGCTACGATGTGGCCATAGCTGCCCCGGGGCGCGCTGACAGAGGCGAGGCTGCTGCTAAATGGTACCACCAGCAGTCAAAGTGGGTTAAATATTCAACTCTGGCACGACTATTTCAAAAGGCTGTAGCTTGAAAATGTTTAGAGATGAAGGTACATGAGAAATATCTTCAGTAGGATCCAAAGGTTATGTTGGGAACACATTCACTCATCTCATTAGTATATTTTGACATCATCAGGCTGTCATGTTGGAATGCATAATTTATACAGACGTACTTTTTATTTGTACGTTATTTTGAAATTTTTGTTGTTTTAAATATGTTTTTAATATATATATATATGCATTAATTAAGTTCCTTTTAATTTATTGTTTTCAATATTTTGTTGTTTATGTTCTATCTTTTGATATTTATAATGGCCTCACTCAGTAAAAATGCTTTACAGTCATATTTGTCAGGTTTTTCGGGCTTATTCAGGGTCGACCTTCTCTTGTATGTAAAGATCATTTGATGCAAGGAAAGATCCTTATGTAGACCAGATGGCTGGAACATGTGGAATATTCACATTGATTGTGACTGGGGTGGGACTTTAATGCACTAATTATAATTAATTATAAAAATCATTACACGTAAAAAAAATTCATGCATTTAATCACAGCTTGCATTTCAAGCAAGGCGGAACCTTTGTCATTGCATGATTTCCTCGTAGACCAAATATCACTGACGCACAACATGGTGCTCTGCTAACGGCTACTAAAACGGGAAGAAATGGCCTGCTTGGACTGAGTATTTGGGAAACACGTCAGCCTCGTCTCTTAACTTGTAAAAAATAAATGATTAAAACTTCCAGAAAACGGAAGTCCACGTCACGGACATTGTTCAGAGATGGTCTCTGCTGCTGCTGCCGGGCCGCACCAGGAACTTTAAAAAAGTGGAGGTCAGCTATATTTGAACATTTATGTAGCGTGAGTGCAGCGCTGAAAGCTCCAGACAGAACAGGAGTTTATGAAAGTAACGAGAGACACCTGCTGCAGCTGGGAAGGTGCTCCGTGTCCTCACACCTCAACGGGTCTTAAAGTAACAAACACTCTAAAATCTCTCTGTCGGTGTATTATACGTCTCTGAGACGAGAGACTGTGTAAACATCACGTGTGTTACTATCATTCGGCAGCTTGACGTGTTGAAGCTGTCATCAGCTGATCGGAAGTTAGGGGAGGATGTTTGAGAGCATCAGGAGCAGCGAGGAACGAGAAAGTTGTGTTCAGGCTGGAGATCACACCAGATCTGCTGCTGCAGGCGTGAATCTGAGGGTCTGCAGCCATCCTCTTCTTGACGTGACAGCGGGACATCCCATGTCAGGAAGGTACGCTCACCTGTTCACCGCTCAGGAATCAGATTAAAGCCTAATTTATACGTTTCCATCAGCTCCATGAGCGAGACACACTTGCACGGATGGAGATGTTTAACCTTTGGACAGTTGCGTCTCCTGGGGAGTGTTGCAAAGCAGTTCCCCTCCAGGACAGCAGAGGGCGTAGCGCTGTTCTGTGGTATCCTGTCATGTATCTGGTCCAAGATAGTGTGTTTATATTGTGTTTTTGTAGAAGAGACTTTTTAACACGGAGAAATTTGTCCTTCCTTCTCCTCCACCTCTTCATGCGCTCGCCACCTCTAAACCCACGTTTCCCGTCATTTCCATCCACGAATAAAACGCTTGCTGCGTGTCTTTACACTCCTGCAGTCACGGGGGAATAAAACATTCCTAACTTTAGAGTTTTTCCATGAGGTATTCTTCAAGCTGCTTTGTGTCTGCCGCCAGATATCCTCAGCTCTTTATGTTTTGGAGGGCGCAATGGCGGCGCTGTAGACGACAGCTGCGTCCTGACCAATCACACGCTTGCATTCTCCGTCTCTACAGACGGATGTTTAGAAAAGAGAGCTCGACTCCATCCATCCTTGCGAGGGCTCTCCAGCAGGCTTGCAAGGACGGATAACAGCGCTGCGTGCATCCGTTCTAACGCAAATGGAGAAGTGTAAATTAGGCTTAATTCCTCATCATGATCTTTTATCTTCCCATCATCCTCCAGTCATCCAACTGGAACCAGTTAGTGTTCCTGATCATTCTCACAGCATGCCACACCTGCTCTGGTGTTAAAAGTTAGTACATGTAAGTCCTAGATCATGTTTGTGCCTGTTCTACTGTCATTTTTAAGGATTTTTATTTATTTATGTTTTTACTGCATTATGAGTAGAAATGCTAATAAAAGCACCCAATTATACAAACAAGTGAAACTGGAAAAGTTAGAATCTGGTGCAAGGTCCATTTATTTCAGTAATTCAACTAGACTGAGAGACAATATAAAGGCTCAGGAACCCTGTTTCATATCACACAGTCACACGTGAATAATTAAAATGCAATTTCATCTTTTTTACAAATGAAAAGCTTTAGTTTACAGTGATGATAACCATGTCTAATGTTTGATTCTCTGCCTCATTTTTCATTTAAAATTTGCTTTGAAGGCACATTTTCATTAACGATTAAAATGTGATTAATTAGAATTAATTACAAAGCCTTTAATTAATTAGATTAATTTTTTTAATGGAGTCCCACCCCTAATTGTGACATACTTTAACTTTCAGTTTCACATCTGCCGTGTCTGCCCTTTTTCATGGCTCTTTAAAGATTTGTTTACATTGGCACTACGTCTGTCACCATCAGTAATGTTTTTACCGTCCGGTCTACAACCACCATGTCCTGCACAAGATGAAATAAGCTTCAGATCATGTTTGTGCAACTTGTTTACTCTCATGCAGCTGCTGCATGAGGCTGCAGCATGACTTTCTTGCTGGGTGAGTGATATATCTTTATCAGAGGTGAATATTACTCTTCAGAATCACAGTCAGCCATTACTAGTCAAATATCTGTCATTGATGAACAAACCTGTCAACAATGTGACTTTTTCCTCTTATTTTAGCCCTCTGTGAGTGTGTGTACTTTAATTAAGGGATCCGCAGTATGGTTTTAGTTTAGTTGTGTGTAGCGTGCATAGACAGCCTCCCCTGTGAGAGACTGCATCATATCACATTAAAACCCAAAGCTGCTTGGATTTGACTGATAAATTACTTTAGATTCCAGAAAACACAGGATCAGATGGCATTTCCTTGTGCAAGAACATACGAGTGCTTGGTCTAGTTAACAGTGGATGGTAGAACTGCAGGAACATTTTTCTGGGACGCATCCTCAGTAGTGTTCCTCTGGATCATGGGGTGTTTCAGCCTTTAAAACACTACACACCCTCCTCAGAGGTGGCAAGCTGTAGGTCGATCAGACCTCAGCTTGTGTCCCGAGTCCAATCAGCCATTAACGTGTGCAACCTGGCACACTACTGGGGGCCCAAGTGGGGTCAATCCTCTTAGCCAGCAGTTAGACCGTGTACCTCTTAAGCTAGATGTGTGGTGAGGAAACTTAAAGCTTTACTCCATTTACTTTGTAACATGTGAACACCACAGTGACTACAGACCTAAATCCGAAAGACTTTATCCCCTAGGGGCAATTAAAATAATTAAATTGGTAATTATTATTATTAATTATTAGTATTGGTAATTAATTAACTAAAACGAATGACTAAAACAAAGAAGGAGGTGAACCTCCGGTCAGACTAATACCTTTTGGTGCTTAGCTCCTCGGATGTGGGCGGCATACGCATCAGCACCTGTGCAGGAAACATCACAAAGTTCACAGCGAAGTTGGTTCTGAGTGTTGCGGGCCAACACACTTCCGCTTCCACTGCTGCTGGTGCTGCTCTGAGAAACTTTGAGGGCAGCTTCTTTCTTCTTGTGCTTCTGGCCTTCCAGGTGCTCCTTGTAAGTCTGATGAATGTTCATACAGAGACAAACATTAATGCAAAAGGTTGCAATTGGCCACGTGTAAGAGTAAAACTCTGATAACCCAGAATAATCTAGGCAAGGAGAGGCAGTCTTATTTATGTAGCACATTTAACAAACAGAGGCAACTCGGTGCGCTTTCAGGTGCAAGAAAAAATATGAAAAACAGTAGATTTGGATATCAAATCCTAAATACACAAATATAAATTGATTTAAAGTAGAAAAGTAAAGTTAAAGACTGAGCAGTTACAGCGCAGAAGGTGCAGTATAAGAAACAACCATTCAAAGGCTGATGATTACATGAAGGTTTCCAATCCTGAGTTAAAAGTCACTAGAGATGGGGCACGTCAAAAGGAAGCTGATTCTATGTGTGTGCAGCACAGTAGCTAAAAGCAGCCTCACCCTGTTTGGTTCTGACCCGGGTTCTACCAGCTGACTACTTCCTAAGGAGCACCTGCTGGGTGTAGATACTGCAAAGAGATCCAACATATATTTTGGATTCATGCTGTTGAGTGACTTAAAAACTAGCAGTAGTACTTTGAAATGGGTTCTGTAGTTTACTGGTAACCAGTGTAGAGATTTGAGGGTGTGGAACACTCATACAGTATTTTTTAAATAATTATTTCTGATTATAATCAGTCACTCTGAGTTTGTCATGCAGGCAGCACATGAAAATAGTCTCCTACATCTATCTCACATTCTGTCCCGCTCTGAACTTGAGACAGTTCTCCACACCTTCATCTCCTCACGCTTAGACTACTGTAACTCTCTTTTCACGTGTCTGAGCAGAACCTCCCTGAACCGTCTACAGGTGGTTCAGAACGCCTGTGCTCGGCTTCTGACCAAGTCCTCCAAACACACCCACATCACCCCGCTTCTCCTCCAGCTTCACTGGCTGCCAGTCAACTTCAGGGTTCATTTCAAGATCCTGGTTCTGGTCTATAGGGCCTTACATGGACAAGCACCATCTTACATTGGTGATCTTCTTAGTCCCTACACCCCCAGCAGGTCCCTGAGGTCCAGCGATCAAAGCCTACTGGTTGTGCAGCACCAGGCTAAAGGTCAAAGGTGACAGATCATTTGCTGCTGTGGCCCCCAGACTCTGGACCTCTCTCCCCCTGAGCCTGAGATCAGAGGACTCAGTGGTCTCCTTTAAACTCACCTGTTCAGGCTTTGGCGTGACCTTCATCACCACCCTGTCCTTATTCTCCGCCTTTCCCGGAATCCATTGATTTCCCTCTTTCCTATTGATTTCTCTCTCCATTTTCTTACATTTTTTAATGTCCTTTTAAACACATTTTTTATCGTTTTTGAAATCTTTTTCGTATCGTCTCGGGCACAGATACAAAAAGCTCGTTTCCCGCGAGTCCTCAAACGCACCTTAGGGACGGTGTCGAGGAGTTTATCTGCAGACCTAAGCGCACGAGAGGGGTGGTAGAAATGGAGGAGGTCGCTTAGATAGGGAGGGGCCTGACTGTTCAAGCATTTGAATGCAAGTAGTAGGACTTTGAAGTTGATCCTGAACTGAACGGGCAACCAATGCAGTGTTTTCAGAATGGGTGTGGTGTGCTGTCTTCAGTCAGCTCCAGTCAGAAACCGTGCTGCTGAAGTCGGGATGAGATGAAGTTTGGACAACGCAGCTTTGCTGATGCTGTATAAACAGGAGTTGGAGTAGTCTAGCCGCGATGTGATGAAGGCGTGAATCACTGACTCTAGAAGACGGACACTCAGGATGGACTTTAATTTAGAAATTCGCCTAAGGTGGTAGAAACAGGACTTGATAGTGCTGTTGACCTGAGCGTCCATCTTCATAACCGGGTCCATTTTTACTCCCAGGTTTGAAGCTAAGGATGTCATATGAGGAGAGAGAGAGTGGAGGTCAGGTGATTGGGTCGCTCTAGCAGTGTCGGAGCTAAAATAATGATCACTGTTTTAGAGTCCTTTGGACGGAGGAAGTTTTCTGCCAACCATTCCTTCACATCATGGAGACAATCAAACAGAGGCTTAGTGGAGTCGGTGGGTTTAAGTGAAAAATAGATTACCCAAAGCTCATGACCGTAGGTGAGGACTGGGAGGTAGATCGACTGGTAAATTGAGAGCCTGGCTTTCTGGCTCAGCTCCTTCTTCACCACAACAGACCAGCTTAACGTCTGCATCACTGCAGACCCTGCAACAATCCGCCTGTCAATCTCCCGCTCACTCCTTTCCCCACTTGTGAACAAAACCCAGAGATACTCAAAGACCTCCACTTGAGGTAGGACCTCTCTCCCGACCTGCAGTTGGCAAGCCACCCTTTTCCGGTTGAGAACCATGGTCTCAGACTTGGAGGTGCTGATCCTCATGCCAGCCACCTCATGCTTGGCTGCAAACCTCCCCAGCAAGAGCTGTAGGTCAGAGCACGATGAAGCCAGGAGGACCACATCATCTGCATAAAGGAGAGATGAGATTCTCCTACCACCAAACTCCACACCCTCAACACCACGGCTGCGCCTAGAAATCCTGTTCATAAACGTTATGAACAGGACGGGTGACAAAGGGCAGCCCTGGCGGAGTCCAAGCCTCACTGGGAACAGGTCCGACTTACTGCCGGCTATGCGGACCAAACTCACGCTCCTCTGGTACAGGGACTGAATGGCCCTTAGCAAAAGACCCTCCACCCCATACTCCTGGAGTGCCCTCCACAGGGTGCCTCTGGGGAAACAGTCATAAGCCTTCTCCAAATCCACAAAACACACGTGGATTGGTTGGGCAAACTCCCATGACTAGGGCTGCAACAAATGATTATTTGGATAATCGATTAATCGGATGGGGTCTCGACACGATTAATCGATTAATCGGATTACATGGGGAAATTTTTAAAAACTGCTAGGGAAACGTTATTTCTCTCCTTCCTTCACTTTATTTAACACAACATTATTAGAAAACAGTTCAATAGCAGAAAAACAACATGCCATCACCTAAATTGTCTTATAAGGTGTATAGACAGAGACCCTAAGCTACATCTATCTGTGACCTAAAATGCTTGGTCCAAGTTAAACAGCTTAAGGGCAATTTTCATCTGTTTTGTTTGATCTCATCTGTTGACATTTATTTCAAATGTAATTAAACATAGGCTGTGAATTAATCAAAATTGATCACTATTTCCAAAAATGACTGAAAAAATACCAAATAAAACAAAAGTAAATGAATGCCATCCTCCTTGCGATGATGCCCTGGGCAACTGCCATAAAGTCACATCAAGAAATGCTGCTGATCATTCCAATGATCCCAAATAGACTCACATTAGGCCACATGAAAGCAACTGAACCCAAAAATATATTAACCAGTATATAACTGCACTCTCACACAACACGCCTGCAGCAACAGTTAGGACTCCTCCCTCCCTTTGAAAAGCGTTTTTGCTTCTGAGGACATTGTGGCTGTAAAGCCACATGCTAGTAGTCTGGCCCCGGTGTGATCAACCAGTTTCTGCGGGAATGTGACGGCGGAACCAGGGCCAGATTAACACTTTGTTGTACCCTGGGCAACAATATTCAAGGGCTCCATCATCACGACCCAAGGATCACCATAATGTGGTCACATACAGAATATTTTACTGTAATATGCAGTAAATATACTCAATACTTGAATGCCTGAAAACACGTAACCCGCCCAGAGTAACCTTTGACCCACCTCGTGTGGACTGACCAATGAGGAGGGGGTCTTAACTTGAGGCCCTCTCTTCATTGGTCAGTCTGCATGAGACTGACTCTCAACTGACGTTCAGTCGTAGGCAGCGAAGCGTCTCTGTGCAGTGCAAAAGCCCGGGTGGACAGTTTGTTTAATGTAGGGTGACCATATTTCCATTTCCAAACAAGAGGACAGGTGATCTGTGCCTATGACGTCACACTATGGCAACGCCACACAAACCATGCTGGGACCCATTTTTTGTAAGAACTAAATTAATATCAGATTCTGCCAATTAAAGGGCTCTAAAACAACTCATATGTAAATATTTTGCATATTTAATGCAAAATCTAATTTTTCTGCTTTAGTGCTGCAACAAGGTTTTATTAATAATAAATTATTATACCTTTTGTTTTACTACAGCATCGGTAAGCTTCCTGTGCACAGATTATTAAGGATGCTTGTTTCAGCTGTGAGATTAGACGATAGGATCAATGAAAAAATAAGTTGTCACACACTCCATGGAAACTTTCAGAGAATCCACAAATAGTGGCTTTCAAATGGTTTTGTTACTTTTTGCAAGTTTATAAAAGCAGCAGATGAGACAGCATGTCTGATAATTTAGTTTTTCATCTGATAATATTAGAACATGTCAGTAATGTCTGAGGGGCTTTTATAAACACCATATAACTAACACTACTGAAGAGGGCATGAATTACACAGAGGCTTCTGGGGAGTCCTGTTATTGGGGGGGGGGGGGCATTTTGCCTTGGCCCCCAAAATGTCTTGAAACGGCCCTGGGTGTGTGACTGAGTTTTGAAGGTGATCTGAATTGTATCAGATGTATAAATATGACATGTGTAGAACTTATTGTTTTTTACTGGTAAAAACGTGTAGTGGAGATAAATCTACCTACATTTGACTTTTCAACACTTTGTTTTGTTTTCTTGTTTTTTTTTTAACTATTTTCCTGTCCTGTCTGTCTCTCATCTTCCTGCATCTCCTCTAAACTCTCCAGAAAATCTGTTGCCTGGATTCTTACCTTTTCACCTCATCAGTTACTTTTGAGCAGATCAAAGGGATCTCCTGACCGAAAAGCGCAGAGCGTGTTTTCGATGCTGCGTGAGGTGACATCACCACAGCACAGGTGATGAGCTCCACAGTAGCGAGCTTCAGGCACAAATAAGACAGAAACTAGAGAACATGTGCGGACATGAACGATCGTGTGCTAATTAGTTTTTTGGTTGCGCCACTTTGAGAATGGACCGTGCGCTGGAAGCAGCTGCCTGGATCGCTGTGCAACAATGTGGAACCGGTTCGCAGCAGCGCAAGTCTGCCGGCTCTCCCTCGCGCTGATCTGCGGCTCTCCCTCGCGCTGATCTGCCGGCTCTCCCTTGCCCTGATCTGCCGGCTCTCCCTCGCGCTGATCTGCGGCTCTCCCTCGCGCTGATCAGACTTGCTCTGGTCTGCGCGCAATGGCGGGTGGGAAGGGTGGGCGCTTTTGGAAGAGTTGTGCGACACAACGAATCGATGACGCAATTCGTTGCCAACGCTTTGAGTAATCGATTTTCATCGAATTTATCGATTCGTTGTTGCAGCCCTACCCATGACCCCTCCATCCACCTAGCAAGGGGAAAATGTTGGTCCACAATTCCACAGCCAGGACAAAAACCATATTGTTCCTCCTCTATCTGAGGTTCAACTATTGACCGGACCCTCCTCTCAGTATCTTGGAGTAGACCTTTCCCAGCAGGTTGAGGAGTGTGATCCCCCTATATTCAGAACACACCCTCTGGTCCTCCTTTTTAAAAATTGGAACCACCACCCAGGTCTGCCACTCCACAGGAACTGCCCCCGATGACCACGCAATGTTGCAGAGACATGTCAACCAAGACAGTCTTACAACATCCAAAGCTTTGAGATACCTAGGTCAGATCTCATCCACCAAAGGGGCTATGCCGCTGCATAGTTGTTTGACCACCTCAAGAATTCTGCCCCAGAGACTGGACAGTTCATCCCCAGGCCTCCCAGCTCTGGTTCCTCCTTGGAATGTGTGTCCGTGGGATTGAGGAGCTCCTCAAAGTATTCCTTCCACCACCAGACTATAGCTCCAGTGGACGTCAACATCTCCCCATCCCCACTGTAAACAGTGTGGGCAAGTTGCTGCCTTCCTCCCCTGAGGCGCTAGATGGTTTGCAAACACCTTTTTAGAGCCGATCGGCAGTCTTTCTCCATGGTCTCACCAAACTCCTCCCACACCCTAGATTTTGCCTCAGCAACTGCCACTGCTGCACCTTGCTTGGCCGTCCGGTATCTCTGTTGCCTCTGGAGACCCACAGACCAGCCACACCCTGTAGGCATCCTTCAGCTTGACAGCTCCCCTAACCTCTGGTGTCCACCAGCGGGTACGGGCGTTACTGCCACGACTGGCACCGGTCACCTTGCGACCACAGCTAGCAACAGCCGCCTCAACAATTGCAGAGCGGAACAGGGCCCATTCAGATTCAATGTCCCCCACTGCTCTTAGGACATGGTCAAAGCTCTGCCAGAGGTGGGAGTTGAAGATCATCTGGATAGGTTCCCAGCAGACCCTCACAATACAATTGGGTCTACCAGGTCTGCGCAGCATCTTGCCCTGCTATCTGATCCAGCTCACCACCAGGTGGTGATCAGTTGACAGCTCTGCTTCTCTCGTTACTTGAGTATCCAAAACATACGGTCTCAGGTCAGACGATACAACTACAAAGTCAATCATTGACCTGTAACCTAGGCTGCCCTGGTACCAGGGATACCAATGGCATCCTTATGTTTGAACAGCAGGGTTTGCCCCAATATTTTATAAGCCTGGTGGCCCGCCAGGCTTTACTTGGCCACCTGCCAGGCTAAGTGTCATGCCCCGCCCCCTCCCCGACCCTACCGTGTTCGCTGACACGAACGGCGCAACAAAACTAGAGCCCTCCATCAGCTGATACTGGTGAGAAGCAGCAGCGGAACGTGTGCAAACCCCCCCACCCCCGCTCTCACGGAGGAGCGCTGCGGGACCAGGAAAACTGAAAATTAAACCATTTGTGCCTGTGTATTTTATATAAAATATGATAGCGTAGCATAAATGAATAGTGTTTATTTAACAGCTAGGAGATGATGGCAGCAAGATTTAGACGGAGCAGAAAAAATCCGCGAGCACAGGGGTCAGACTTCAGGGAGCTTTTGATCTGTGCAGAGAAAACGTTTTCACACGTGAAGAAATCATCTGTGCAAGAACCCTAAAATCTGAGCACTGAAGCAGATTTGAGGGGAAACAGTTTTTTTAAAGAGAGCAGACATTTTTAGTGCAACCATGACAAGTTTTGAGAGCAAAGATGTGAAATCCTGCTCTCAAACTGAAAATGTAAACTTGGTTTATATTAGAATAAAACAAAATGATGGAGCTCCTTAGGGGTACAAGAACCAACTTCTGGGTCGCTCCTGTTTACTGGCTTCGGTTCTTTAAACGACTCTAGCCTGCTGGTGTCAAACTGCCGGTGCAGCAGCGTTAGCTCGGAGCAGACTCAGCAACCACATCCCTTCATAGACTTTTTGAAAGGAGAAAAAGTTGACCACCCCCCGGCCGGCGAGAAGGACATCTGCTTCAGTATAACCTTCTTTCTAACGTGGCTGAGAGATTAGGCACTTCTGAGATTATTACACTGTAGATTTCTTACCTTAAATGTTTGATTTTTAATCCGAGGAGCTCACAAAACTGAGATTCTTGGGTTGGTTGAATTTAGTGTTCAAAAACTGATTCAAGCTCAGAAATGTTGCTCATTCAGAGGTGTGGTTAGTGAGAGTTTAGCATGTGATGGAAGGGTGCTGGATATCAGCCATCAATTGCTATCAGCAATAGAAAAACGGCCTTTAAATGGGAAAACGTGATGACCTCGACTGTTTCCAGCCTAGGAGTGAAACTGGACACGGCCTTAAAGCTTAACAGCACAGTGAACTCCTGTTTTCACCACCTCAGGCGCGTTTCCAAAACTCAATCCTAATCTGAGTAAACATCATCTAGAATCCCTGGTCCACGCCTTCATTACATCCTATTTTAACTCCGGCGTTTGTGGCATCAGCAAAGCCGCTCTGCCCAGACTCCAGCTGGTTCAGAACGCAGCAGCAGGGCGCTAACAGAATAAGTTAGGACTAGTTTTTGTCTCTGAAAGGCCAAGCCCCTTCTTAGCACCACTAGCACCCTCCTCATGCCCTGAGGTCTGAGGATCAGCTCCTCCTCGTGGCTCCTAAGTCCCGCGGTGAAAGGCGCCTCCACGTTAGGCTGCTGCTGTGGACAGAAAACACTTTTTCTCCCGGCTTTTAGCGGTTAAACCAAGTCTTCACGTTTACCTCATTCCCACTGATTGCTTAATGAACTTGTGTGTATTTGAAGGTCTTTAATGGCGTCCTTTCCTTTTAAAACTGCTTTTAGTACTAGGCCTATAGGTTTTCTCCTCTCCATCGTATGGCCTACACGTGTGTGTTATGTGGTTGAACTGCCTGTCTGGTTTTAGCTCCACTTACCTGTACTTCCAGTGGAGTCATTTAGCTGGTTGTTCTGTGTTGTGCAGCATTTAGGTCAGCTGCATGGCTGTGCTGAAAGCGCTTAAATAAAATGGTATGTATGATATGACCAGCAGACACACAGGGACTTCACTAGAACTGTGTGTGTGTGCGTGTGCGTGTGTGTGTGTGTTGAACTGAGCTCACCTGGGGGCCAGCACAGCTGATCTTGCAGACATCACAGTAGTGTATCTGAGGGGGTTTTGGTGGCTGCTTGGGTCGAAGCTGCTTATTCTGGAAGGTGGATTTCTTAGTGAATGTGTTTCCTGACCAGGCCGCTGTAGCTGCTGCTGCTGCCACTGCTTGTTTCTGCTGCTGCTGCTGGTAGTAGTTGGAAGCTGCTGAATAGACGGCTGCTTCATATCCAGAGTATGAGGGTCCTGCAAAACAAGCCAAAAACGGGCTCAAAACAGCAGCATACCAAAGCCTTACCTTAACTCTCACCATGAGTGTGTGAATGGATGAATGATCCACTGTAGTGTAAAGCGCTTTGGGGTCCTCTGACTCTGAAAGGTGCTATACAAGTGCGGGTCATTGTCTGGTGTCTTTGATGCAACAGAAAACAGGATGGTAAGTGGCCTGTAATTGTATAGCGCCTTCCTAGGGTTATACAACCCCCCAAGGCGCCTTCACAACACAATCCATCATTCACCCATTCATACTGGTGATGAGCTACGTCGTAGCCAAAGCTGCCCTGAGACCCACCAGCAGAGACCATACACAGGCACCACCCATCTCGTTTACCACCACCAGAAGGCAAGGCGGGGGCGTGTCTTGACCAAGGACACCACTAAGACTGAGTGGGACATGAACTTGCAGCCCTTTGGCTATGGCAGGGACAATTAACTGTGCCACTGTTACCCCAGCAGTAATAGTAATTAATAATAATTAAATCAAACTTTCTGGAGGTACACACCCAGTGTTTACCCTACATAGGCCCCCACGGGAGATGCCCATCCCGTAGAGCTGCAAAGATTATACATGTTGGTGGTACGATCTGAACGGTAATCACGTTTTCACGATTACCACAATTATTTTACATGAATTGATTTCACATTTAGATTAACATATATAAATCACAAGCATCACAAACTATTATTAAAGTGCATGATTGCGGTCTGTAAAGGTTTTGACATCTATTGCTCCTTTTCAGAGATTCTGCTGAGAGAAATTCATTTTAAAATGCGAGTAATTACAATTTTAAACTTTTAAAACAGCTGAAAACTCTTTTGATCAATACGTGTGCAGTGGTCTTTAGTAGGAATGAATGCCTTGTAAGTCGTTCTTCGGGGGAAAACATAACCAGTGACCCATTTTCAAAACTTAGAAGTGAACCACACCCCATCTGAGCTTCAGAGGGCAGGCTTTGGAGTCTTTTTTCCTGATATTTGGACGTCACTAACACGACTACCACTGACTTGCAACAGTGATGTTTTATCTCCACAACACAAGCCCGGAGGAGTTCTGCTGTGTGGTGGAGTTACTGACGCTAATGGTTAGCTTCTACTATCCGAGACGTTCTCTGCAGTTTCCTAGTCGCTAAACCAACAATGTCCTTCCCCGTCGTGAGTCAAGATGGGTGAGTCCTTTCAGGCGCGTTGCAAGCTTTTCAAAAGTGTGGGGGATGTTGTCTGTGCCTAAAATAAGTTCATGTTATTCATCTTGTTAGTTAAATTTCCATAATAGCGGAGCAGGTGCAAATTTTAGACGCGTCACGCACGTCTCCGTTTTAAACATGTTTAAACTGTTCAGAATACAAATCCAGGCTCTGTCTCGTTAGATTGGTGTAACTAAAGTTTGTACTGAATGAAACTTTACATTAAACCATGTTGAAAAGAAACGGATCCGATTAAATCGTTTCCCCTCATTTACAGTCAGTACAGCGCAGTGCGCGTGGCTCTGGGGTTAACCAAGTTTAGTTGTTTCTCTTTGCAACAATCTTCACAAGAAGGCAAAACCGTTAAATGGCAGGTTACAGATATTTCCATTAGACTGTTTGACGGATAAACTCAAGGATGTTGGTAGTTTTGAAAGAATTACCCCGACGCACACTGATACAGATGAGCTGATATTTTAATCGTTACGCACATCGCGGAGGTAACTAAATAAATCAAGAAAAGATTCCCATCAGAACGTCAGAGCTTTATACTGGACATGTGCTCAGCGCGGCTCAGAGCGCACACGGTGGACAGTGAGCTGAAGATCTAGAGGGGAGCACAGCGCAGAACCACGGTGATGCGGTAAGATTTCCTCCCACTGAAGAGGTCTGGAAGCCCGGTCTCTCTGAGAGATGTGTCACTTGGAAAAATGTTCTTTGATTATGAAACTTTGGCTGAATAGCGCTCGTTCCCGTCTCAATACGTCTCTCCTGTTTCTCCTTGAAACCCGACATCGGCTGTCGGGTTTCAAGGAGAAACAGAAGAGGGAGGTGAAGAAGGAGATGAGGCAAACAGAGTGAGTGCGAGAAACCAGACTGGTGTGGAGGTGAGCAAAACGGCTGGACAAGTGTGGCTGTTGAATCCCCCACATCCCCCACGGGTGCGACGCCCATGAGTCCATGAATGCTGAGTGACAGGGTGACGTAGATCTGTCAGGCTTTTCTAATCCTAGAGTTTCAACGTCTGTTTTCTATCAGAAGCTACTGCAGAACCCTAATGCTGGGAACCGGTGATGGTTGTACCCCTTGTGCAGCAGTACCGGAACCAGAGTGAACTGGGTGTATGGGGAGTGTGAGTGGGTGTCTAGCGTTCATTTCTGTAAGTCTTTGGTTGTATGTGTATGTGTGAGCATGAGGAAGGGTGTCTGACTGTACATGTCAGGCGGGGTCGTGGACTCCTCCCCTCTCTTGGGACTTCTTGTGCTACTATACATCTTTGCCTGCCATCCCCCTGCCACACCTGGTGTGGAGCGTAACGCCTTGGTCTGCCTGAGTGTTCCCGGCTCCCAGGTTGGGGGGTTTAAGATTTTTGGCCTCTGCCAGATCGATCCCGGTGGCTGCCTGGTGGGACTGTGTCCCTGGGCTCTGCTCGGTCCCCGGAGGGGCTGGTTGCCCCTGGGTCCTGGGTCGTTGAGTTCCGGGCTTGGCCGACTGGGGGTGGGAGGCCGCGGGCGGGCCTGTGGGCTTGCCGCCGATATCTCCTGGGACTCTGTCGGCTGCTGGTTGTGGCCCACCGGGGCAATCCTCTGTGCCTCTCGAGGGGGGCAGGGGCTTTTCTGGTTGCAGTTTCCCTGGAGTCCCAGCGCTCTGGGATAGTTCCTGGATCTCTGGGACTTTGAGCTCCTTCCATCTCCTACACATCTTTGGGGGCAGATCTGTGTCCCTTCCCGCTCTCTATTGGACGCTCCTATAGAGAAACCTTACATATACAAGCGCAGGTACGCACACAGGTGCTCACATGCTGCTCTCGTAAGTATGGATTTGGGTATTTTCAACACATTTCTTAAGGCTGTGGTTGGCACTAAATGCACTTTGAGTTATTATCATGTGATTGTTCAGTAAAACAATGTTGATTTTAGATTTCCTCATCAGGTTGATGCAGTGATAGATTGCTCTTGTTGTATTGTTGTGTGTTGTTTTTCTCTTTCTGCAGGTCTAGAACCAGACTCTTGTTTATCATTGATTGTTTATTTTTGTGAGCTACTCTCTCACTATCTGAGCCTGATGAATCCTGGCATTGCCATCTTGGAATACGGCCATGCCATCAGAGAAGATGGAATAACCTGGTCATTCAGGATATTCAGGTAGTCAGCGGACCTCAATCTTGGAGCACATCCTGTTACAGAACCTAGACCTGGCCACCTGCAGCAAGCCCAGATCATAGCACTGCCCCCACAGGCTTGTTCAGTAGGCACTAGGCATGATGAGTGCATCAATTCATCTGCCTCTCTTCTTACCCTGATGCACAGTCACTCTAGACCAGGGTCCATCTGGACTCATCAGACCAGTTTTTTTTTAAATGCTTTGGACATCTTTGTTATGGTAAGACATGTGTCTTTCCACATTATTGTTTAAGAAATGGGAAGCAACTCACTGAACCAGATGGGATTAAATAATTTGTTGCTTAGTTAAATCCAGATGGCAACTTTTTTTTTTTGTCTGGGTAATGTATAAGTATTTGTACCTGGTTTGTAGAAATCTGGTACCATTGTATCCCTAAAATGTAGCAGTTTTCTAGGATTTTATCTTTGCTGTAGTCTCACCAGAGTAGGTGACAGCATTGGTGCTGTACGTTGGGCTCTGGGAGTAAGATGGGACAACAGAGGCTGCTGCAGCCACAGGCTGGACTGTAGAGGTCACTGGGAAGATGGAGAAGGTGGATGAAGCGGGACTGGGAGCAGCTGGTTTTATCACCGTCACCTGTCGAGTCTGCTGGGTTTGGGTGTAAGATGTCACTCCCTGTGTATATGCAGGTTTAGGAGCTGAAATGAGAAAAAACAATTTTGTTAAACATCGGTTGTGAAGAAATGAAAGATCAAGCTGGACCTTTTGTCTCTTCTCTGCTAAGTGCAGTAAACAAATTGTGGTTCCTATTTCAGCACTACGAGCGCTAAAAAGCAGAGGACAGACTCACACACACACACACTCACTCACTCACTCACTCACTCACACTCACACACACACACACACACACACACACACACACACACACACACAGATAAAAAAGTAAAGGAAACACAAATAAAACATCCTGGATCTAAAGAAATATTCCTAATCATAAAACTTGCTAAGCATGGTGGTGGAGAAGCCCATGGGCGACCCACCGGGTTTTTTGTAAAACAAAAGTGTTGAAGTTTAAAGTTATGACAAGTATGTGGTGTTATAAGCCATTTATATACTTATTTTTGTAAATTGATACTTGTCAAGATCAAGCAAGGCTGCATTATTTGTATGATGGCATTTCATGTTTTAGCAGCCAGTAAGGGCATTTCAACCCACCAATTATTCAATCAATCAAATTTATTTATGAAGTGCTTTTCATACAAGTGCAGCTCAAGGCGCTTTACAATATTAAAAACAACCAGACAGCAGTCGGTTTCCCACCCCTCCCACACAGATTCACATACAAGATGAGGACAATAAACACCGCCCAGAGGATTATTGGCTGCACCCTGCCATCCCTGGAGGCCATCTCCAGAACCCGCTGCCTGAAGAGAACCGCTGCTATCCTCCGTGACCCCACCCACCCGGCCCACTGCCCGTTTGAACTGTTGCCCTCAGGGCGCCGCTTCAGGTCAGTTAAATCACACACCACCAGACTTTCCAACAGCTTCTTCCCTTGGGCCATCAGAAGATTCAACACAACAGCACCATTCAACCCCCCACATCCCCATCAGTAATGTGGACTCATCTGTTTTAAATCCTTTTAAATTATTGTTTTAGCAGATCTGAATCACCGGTTGTACTTTCTTGTGTTGCTAAATGTTTTTAAATTGTTTTTAGTCCTTTATGGTTTTCACATTTATTGTCATTTATTGTCTTGTGCACTGTTGATGGCGGACCATCTGTAATTTAATTGCCATGAGCAATTACAATAAAGTCAACTCTATCCTAAGATCCCCTTTGTAACTCCCTCCTCCCACCCTCAATCCCATCCCAAGTAGATGCAAACTCACACTAGGGTTGGGCGATGGGACGAATGAATCGACCATCAGCGATGGGCTGAGCCGTTACAGTTGTTTTTTACAGGAGGCAATTTGTTCATTTATTTATTTGTTTGTTATTGACGACTATTTTACAAGTTACGCACAGAGAACATCGCAGAGGTAACAATCAAGAAAAGATCTCCATCAGCGCATCTGAGCCTTTTCTCACCTCCTCCGCCTCTCGCTACTGACAGTGCACGTGCAAGCGGCGCGCTGAGGAGGGGTTTGGAGAGCGTCTGTGACGCATTCGACATCGTGCACTACAGCGCGGCGTTGAGTGGAAAGTGGAAACCCTTCTATCTTTCAGAGTCTGGAAGACTTCTGGTTATTTCATGTGGAGAAATGGTTCCTGATTTAAAACTTTGACTAAAGTAGCGCCACAGCAGGTGAAATGTTCCTAATTAATTGCATTGTTCATGTTACTGGGGCATTCTGCTCAGCTTGGTTGGACTAAATATTAATTGAAATGAATGGACATTTAACAAACGATTATTCATTATTTAAAAAATGAAAGTGATGGGGATAAATGGATCATGTGACCTCAGGCAGCGAGCTGCCTCCTCAGGGTACGTCCAAAACAAGCCCCCACAATGCCGCTCTAAAATTGAGTAAATCCCGGAAGTACCACAAATTGCAGTTCCACCCTCATCCACTAGGGGCTGGTGTCAGAAGCGAGCAAATCCTCATTGACTCCCATGTTAAAAATACCAATTTCACAGCAGAAATAAACATGTTTACAGCCTGGTACCAGAACATGTTTTTGGTTTAAATGATCTAGTTTACACTCATGACAACTCTGAGGGGGGTGAATGTTTTTCTCACTCTTCTGTTTAAGTGTATTAAAAGCCTAAAATTCTGTATAATTAATGAGCATCAGACCCACGTGACCACAGAGCTAGCTCCGGGGAAAGTCCTCAGTAGAGCCTCGGTCTGGCCTGGAAACTGCTCCGGGATTTCGAGTCTCTGTGTTTGTGTATTCTGTTTTGGATATTTTTGTGCAATTGTTGGACAAAATGACTTGCTGTGGCATTAATTGCACTAATAGAGCGTCCAAGGAGTCTCCACTTCATTTTTTTCGGTAAGTAAAATTATATTTATGTATTTTAGGTCACTGCCGAGCTGAGCTTAGATTTTAACATGTACTGTTTAACCATGAAATGTAAATGTAATAGGGTAAAACCCAGTGCATTTAACATAATGCTGCACTTTAGAAAATGGGTTGAAAAATAACATGTTGGTGGAGCTGGGTTCCGACTATCGGCTTGTGGAGCTCTCGGGAGACCGATGTTTCCACCCGTTCTCCCCTCCCCGCAGCTCGGCGCATCTCTGTCTGCTGCGCAGGCTGCCGGCTTTCAGCCACAGAGGTCTCGGGAACCTCCACTAGCCGGCAGCCGCACAGCAGACAAGCGCCGCTGCGATCTGAGATGCGCAGAGCTGCCGCTAGGGAGAACCGGGTGGGAAGGTTTCCATCCCAGAGCTCCACAAGCCGTCAGCCCGCGCAGCAGACAGAAGCCGCAATCAGACAGAGATTTAATACACTTAAACAGAAGAGTGAGAAAAAAATTCACCCCCCTCAGAGTTGTCATGAGTGTAAACTAGATCATTTAAACCAAAAACATGTTTTGGTACCAGGCTGTAAACATGTTTATTTCTGCTGTGAAATTGGTATTTTTAACATGGGAGTCAATGAGGATTTGCTCGCTTCTGACACCAGCCCCTAGTGGATGAGGGTGGAACTGCAATTTATTTCACTTCCGGGTTTGACTCAATTTCAGAGCTGCATTGTGGGGGCCTGGCTGTCACCGACAGATCACGAAGTCATGCGACATTAGCAAAATCACGCATGACTTTGTCAGTAAACACAACAAGCAGGAGAAAACTACAAATGAAATCACTTTAATAATTAGCATAAACTCACCAAATTGCCTCAAAACCGCAGATACGTCACTCCATGCATTATCCTTCTTGACGTTGTCTTTATAAAAACTGACTGGGATCGTACAGGATTGGGTACTTATCCACTTCAGTAATCAACTTTTCGTCGTCCATTATGGAAAACAAAGGAGACCGCTAGCTAGGTGATAACTTTTTTTTTTTTAAGAAAAGCAACTGGAAGGCAGTATATTTCTTTATTCTGAAAATCTCGGGAAGCTTCTCTCCGTTTTCACGTCTGATTTCATGTCTTTCCTTCCCCAAAAATGTTGAACTTGACCCGTTTCAGAGGCGTAGCGCGTAGAAAATAGAACCGGCGCGTAAAGGCCGCGACCTGCTGCTCCTCAGACGCGGCCGACTCGCGCTGCTGACGGCTCCGGTGGAAAAGGTTTTGTTGACCACAGCGGTTCCTACCAGCAGCTATGACGTGTTGCGGACGGCTCTGGTGGAAAGAAGGGGTTAGTTTCACTTTCTGTTGTGACTGAATGCTGCTGCAGCATGGAGGTGTAGTTCTCAGTCATCCTGGACGTGATCATCCTGAGAGTTTTAGCTGGAAACAGCTGGACGTTTCTGGATATGTTGGAGACATTTAGCCTCTCATCCCAGAGGCTGCTCCCACACTCTGGTTGTGGTCAGAAACAAACACACTGGTTGTGCTGCAAGTCTGTTTCTTTTTGTCTCCAAAACACGTTTTTGTCTAAATGAAGGTGATGTTGTTGTTCATAGAGTTAAAATTCATGTTGAAGTTAAGATTATTTCATCAAGTAGGACCTGTGGTTAGCTGGCTCATGTAAAGCATGGAATGTCTTGAAAGAATCGGAATTGGGAATCGATAGGAACCGGAATCGAAACGAGGAATTGGAATCAGAATCGGAATCGTACAAAATCAAACAATGCCCAACCCTATTTACTAATGAGACTAAGATAACAAGTTAATCAAATGAAACATAAACATCTGATAAATAAAAATCTAAACACTGATAAAAGATAACCAAGTAGAAACATATAATTAAATATAAAAAAATTGTACTACAGATTATTAATACTGGTCAAAACTAATAATTATTACAAGTTAAAATTAATATATAAGAAAATATGTGTCATTTAAGTAAAAGAGTAAGTAATAAAACACTGATAAAATGTATAAAAGATGGTAAAACAGGCTAAAATAGATCAAAATCAACTAAAAGCCATACTAAAAAGGTGAGTCTTGAGCCTGGCCTTAAAAACAAGAACAGTCGCTACGGCCCTGAGGCAGGCGCGCAGAAAAGTATAAAGGAGAAGTATAAACATAAGCAACAAGCGTTTTATTCAAGAATGAAATTGACGGGAAGAGGTGGAAGAGAACGAGGGACAAATTTGTCCATGTTTAAAAGTATCTGAGATACAAAAACAGAAAATGCACCATCTTGGACCACAACTGTAATGGTGGCAGGATACCCCAAAGAAGCCCTTTGAGTTCTCCCCAGCAAATGGGGAAGTGCTCAGGAAATAGAGTGGGTTGTCCAGTAATCAGTAGGGCTGGGGGTAAACGATTATTTTTAAAACGATTATTCTGACGATTATTTTATCGAATAGTCGACTATTCTAATGACTATTTAGAAAATTAATCAAATGATTATTTTTCTATTGCACAATTAACAAAAACCAGAAAATCTCAAATAAATTCCTCAAAAAAATTGATAAATTCTTACTGTAAGAGAATAAACACTACAGGCCTTCCATGCTTTTATTGTGTTGCGGTTGGTTATGTTCTGGTGACGTGTAGAACTTGGGAGTGCAGGCTGCTGCCTGAGAGGTGGTAGAAGATGGAGTGTCTCCATGCTGCTTTGTTTTGGTCACTTATGTGCGTGAGGCGAGTGGTCTTACGGGTTAAACCAAACTCAGGTGATATTTTAAACTAAACCGAAAACCCACAACACTCTAAATGTAATAAAAGGGAGATCTACACCACAAAAAAGATGAACTCTAAACCAAAACGTAACAGCTTATCCCAACGCAAGAAGCTGTTAGCGAAGATGCTAACAGTAGCTTTACCAACGTTAAGTTCAAGTTACCAAGTTTAAATAAACCAAAAACACCCAGCAGCAAACAGACCAGCACGGAGAGACTGCTACCACCAAAACAGCTCTCCTCATGTCTGAAAGAAGCTCCTTAATGAAGGGAGAAACGCTCCCGGTGATTTTCTACATCTGCGGTAGAGACGAAGCAGCGCATCTGACCCCGGAAGTTGTTGTCCGTTGCCGGGAGACGAAGGGGCAAAACAGGAAAATAATCTAGTAGTGGACGGACATTGTTCCGGGTCTTCGGTATTTGGCGGAGATGTTAGTGAAGGCGGAGAAGAGGGCGAACTAGAGGAAAAACAGGCAGATTCCTCCTCCATTTACAAACTCCTGGGGATGCAACAAGTGGGCGCGGTGCGTCGACTTCCGGATCTGACGTCGACAAATTTTTAGAATCGAGCCGTCGACTTCGTCGAAGCTTCGCTACAGCCCTAGTAATCAGAAGGTTGCAGGTTCAATCCCAGCTTCGACCAGAGAATGCTGCTGTTGTGTCTTTGGGCAAGACACTTAACCCCCCTTGCTTGCTGGTTGTGGCGGAGGGACCGGTGGCACCAGTGCTCGGCAGCCTTGCCTCTGAGTGCGTTTACATGCAGCCAGTAACCCTTTTAAAACCCGAATATTCACAATAACCCGGTTCCGCAGGTCCATGTAAACACCGCCAAAAACCCGGATATGCTCATAACCGGGTTTTTAAAACCCGGTTACTACACCTGGGGTAACCCTTTTCTAACCCGAATGTTTGGTCGTGTAAACGCATACCGGGATATCCCCATCAAAGCGTGTGTTCTGTGCATGCTCTGTTCGTAAGGAATCTTGGTCTTTTGAGTAGCGAGACGTCTTGTATGCGCCAGAACACCGGAAGTAAACAACAAGTTGGGAGCGACATGGCGAGTCGCGGCACAGCACCACACTTTTGGAGTGACGAGAAAACCTCTGTCTTCATCGGTCTGGTGAAAAGTATGAACATTGTGTCTTTTGTTCACGGCCAAAAGAACAGAGACATGGGAAACATGTTGTTGTTTTCACGGATACCAGAACAAGAAGAACCGGAAATGAGGCATATTGCATCTGGACGTAGTCCATACGTCCTGACGCTACCCCAACGTCCGCATTTAAATCAGGTTATGCAAGTTAGGGGTAACTATTTATTTATGCTTGTAAACGGGTTATTCTGATCAACTCAGAAACCCGAATACCGACCTTAACCCGATCATAACCCGATCATACATACATGGCTGCATGTAAACGTAGTCTGTCATTGTGCCCCAGGGCAGCTGTAGCTCATCCCCACCAGTGTGTGAATGTGTGTGAATGGGTGAATGACTGATTGTGTTGTGAAGCTCCTTGGGGGGGGTTGTTGAACTTTACGAAGGCGCTATACAAATACAGGCTACCATTACCAAGTCTGAAATAAATATATATACTGCTGCAGATTTGCGTTGGAGGGGTTTAGTATTTCAAAAGGGGCCTGTGTGTGTGTGTAGCTTTTACACAGAACAGATGTTTTTATTCTTTACAGGAAGAAACTATCTGAGATGTACGTTGTAAAACTGCTAAAAATGTTGAGGTGTGTGCATTGCTCTCCATCATCCATCCCTACCAAAAAACCAGCTCATTCTTAACCCAAAATTTGGATCAAGCCTCTGAAGCAACACCAAGGTGACAGACACACTGTGTTTGACAGGCGTTTTGTTGAATGAAGCCTACCTGTTTGGTAGTACGACTCTGCCACGCTGGGCTGTGGATGTGCAGCAGCAACAGCCGCCGTAGCAGTGGGCTGCTGGTAGTACTGCTTCGTACCGTCATAACCAACAGCTGATGCTGTCGAGCGGACATATGAGTATGATTCCTGCAAAACAAAAGGTTAGGGTTGTAGTTTATTCCTGTTAAAACAGTGGTCAGCAGACCAGACAGCTGCAGAACAGCAGAGACTCTACAAAGGCTGGCATCTACAGTTTGTTTAACAGTCAGAATTTCTCAAATCTGTTTAAAGTTTACCGTTAGTCTTAAGCATTAAGAAAAAATGACTGTCCAACAAGTGGAAAGGAAATATGAGATGGTGTCATGTTCTTCAGTGTGTAAAAGGCCAAGAAGATGACCGAGTTATCCTGATTTATACTTCTCCGTGAGCTCAGCAACAGAGAGACGCACACGGAGTGTCGGAAAGGTTTTCACATTCGAACTTCTGTTCAAGCAGAAGAGTGCTGCAAAGCAATTCCCCTCCAGGACAACAGAGGGCAAAGTGCTGTTGTGGGGTATCCTACCACCATAACACTCATGCATCCAGTCCTCGATAGCGTATTTACCAATGTATTTGTATATTTTAGAGACTTTGTAACACGGACAAACGTGTCCTTCATTCTCCTCCACCTCTTTATGTGGTCGCCACCACAGAATTGTTTATATTGAAAGACCCCCTATTTGCCACTGAGGCAAAGGAAATGCGGTTGCCATCTTGGATGGTCGAGCTTCCGGCAGACACAAACCATAACAGTGGGGATTATTCCTGCTCTAATCGGCAGACTATTGAGACCAGAGCACGGGGGATTACTCTTAACAAGTAAGTTTGAGCATTTTTGTTGTTTGTATTTAGTAAATATAACTTTGCTGTACTGTATTTGTGTCCACCAGCAGCACCTCCTAGCCAGTTAAAGTTAGCTACATGCTAACTGCTGCTGTCTCCCTGACAGTGAAGCTAAATGAAACATTATTAATCATTTATTCCTAAACACTGACTTATATTTAGAGCTGAAACAACTAATCGATTTAATCGATTATAATCGATTATTACAGTAGTTAACAACTTTTTTAGTCATCGATTAGTTGTTTAATAATCACATTTTACCGCATAAAGTCCATCTTTACCACAATCTGACATCGGTTACAATCTGTTCAATTTGCCGCCAGTGTGTGGCAGTAATGAGCCACTGATCTACCAGTGGAGCCGTTGAAGAAGAAACGAGCCAATAAGTGCCCTCGGTTTTCATGACATAACACGTTACTGACGCTCATCTTGCTGTGAGAGATGGCGGAACAAGAAGAAATACGGAAGAAAAATAGAAGCGACAAAACTGAAGAGAAACCCCGGACACAAACCTCACGAGTATGGGAGCACTTCACTCTAGATGCCATGAAAAGACGAGTGACCTGCAAAATATGCAAAAACCATCTAGCATGGCACAGAAGCACGACGTCCCTAAGTGAACATTTGAGACGAAAACATGTGGGGGCTGATGCAGCAGAGGAAGAGCCAGCCCGGTAAGTAACAGAAAATAAACAAGCTAAATATACTACAAGCTAAATATACTACACGCAGATCAAATTTGGGACTTAGTGTTTTAGCTGAGTTTGTTATAGTGGATAGCATAGCATAGCATAGCATAGTTTATTTATATAGCACATTTAAAATGCAGCATGGGAGCTGCCCAAAGTGCTGCACAGGCTAAAATAAAACACACCCATTACAAGGAGCTAAAACTAAGGATAAAATCTCAATTAAAAGCAGAGAAAACATGAATAATAAGAACACATTAAAACAATGACACAATAAAACACTAAAACGAGTCACTGTCTAAAAGCCAAAGTGTAAAAGTGGGTCTTTAAACGAGATTTAAAAACCGCCAGAGATGGAGCCTGCCGAACTCCAATGGGCAATGAGTTCCATAGCTTTGGGGCAGCATGGACAAATGCTCGTTCACCCCGCGATTTGAGCCTCATCCGCGGCGTGTGCAGCAGCAATAGGTCAGCCGACCTCAACGAGCGGGTGGGCACATATGGAGTGAGAAGGGCAGAGAGGTAGGAAGGTGCCAGGTCACTGAGCGCTTTAAAAACAAAAGTCAGTAACTTAAACTGCACTCTGAAAATGACAGGGAGCCAGTGAAGATGTGCCAGGACAGGTGTAATGTGGCTACGTCGGTGTGTACCCGTCAAGAACCTGGCAGCAGCATTCTGAACAACCTGCAGCCGATTCAGGGCAGAGTCCGGAACACCAACGAGGAGGGCGTTTGCATAGTCCAGGCGAGAGGTAATGAATGCATGAATGACTGACTCCAAATGCCTCCGTTTCAGGATTCGTCTGAGGTGAGTAAGGCGGCGAAGCTGATAAAAACATGTTTTTTTTTTTGCCGCATCGGTCTACGTTGTTCTACTTCTGATTGACTAGATGCAATCGTGAATCTCCGTGTTGTGAATCATGCGCTTGCCAAATTTAGCACGTCTGTTTATAAGAATGTTCTCGTTAAGAGAAAAACAGCACAAACCCATAACTATGTTCCTCATTCAAAAAAGGACAACTCCGCGGTGAAAAATATACAGACGAGCTGTGTCCAGGTGAATATAACGCGGCATAGTTGTACGCTTTCAATTTTTAAATACAGGAGAAATTCAGAAAAAGTCATTTTTTTACTATTAAAAGGCTGTTTTACTATCTAACGCTGTAAAACGCCTCACAACACATTTTTATCATGTTTCTTAAACAGTATTACACAAAATAAACATTTTTCACATTTCTCTAGCTAATTTAAACACTCCCGACTCAAAGTAAAAACCTCATGAGCTCCTTACTAAGAGCTTTTTAATAGTAAAAAAAATTTTAGTTTTTTTCTGAATATCTCCTGTTGCGGGCTATTTTGTAGAACGTAACCCTCAAAATAAATGATCACTGTATATTGTTAATTAATTCAAATAATATAATATTGATTTAGTGTTGTGGTGTGTGTGCTGCTTTATTTTATGTGTGTACTTATTTCAGTCTATTTGTGTTTCTTATGCAGAAAAAAACAAGCAACGATGGACAACTACATGGGGAACAAGACACTCACCCCCCAGCAATGCATACCACTTACAAACTCTATTCTAAACATGCTGGTAAAATACATGAGGCCACTATCCATGGTGGAAGGAGCAGGCTTCCAGCTAATGCTAAAAAATTATTCTGGACTGATATTTTGCACTGTTTAGCTCATTTTACACCACTGACTGTGTTCATGTGCAATAAAATAGATTGCAGTCAACTGCACAATTCTCCTATGTTTTTCTTTTCTTAACTGAAATGCATTCATCACTTGTATAGGTTAAATAGCTAAACAATAACAAACGATTAATCGAAAAAATAATCGACAGATTAATCGATTATGAAAATAATAGTTTGTTGCAGCCCTACTTATATTACAGCTGAAACAAGAATGCTGCTGTAGAAACCAAACACATCTTCCTGGTATCAGATAGATCTCATGTCTCTGACCCTCCTCTCTGACTGGAGAGTTAGCTAACATGCTAACATGCTGAAGAGACGTTTTCTGGTTCCACCCTTTGAAGAGTTTTAGTTTATTATCATCAGAAATGCAGTTTTAGGTTCAAGAAAGGTTCTAAGAATATTTAAGGAAGAAATAAATGGAAGAGTAGGAATAACACAAGTGGAATGAAGAAAATAATATTGACCTCTTTTGTACAATGTTGTAAAACTCATGTTTTTGTTTTGTAGCTTTTCCACAAAACAGAAGTGTGAGGCTTCCTGCAGCTGATTTATTCTGATCAGAACTGGGCTGTGTCAGACTGGGAGACTCAGAGATGGAGTTTATTCTTCAGCTTCCTGGTTCTCCTTCAGAGAGTAAGAGTATCATGAAGCCATCAGCATCCATACATGTACATATCCTGTGCTATACTTTCCCCCACATACCTCATCTTGATGTCATTTCTCACTAATTCATTTATTTTAATCATCGTAGTAAGGATCATATCTGGGTGTCCCAGAGTTTTCACAGCAGGGGACCACTCATGTCAGCTGAGAACCACAGGTGTGTACTATAAACACTAATATATAATAAACATAATGTGCTTGTTTGGTTTAACCAGAGAAGTTCAGAACTACATCCAGAAGAGCTGTGTCTTTGGCCTCTTTTATGAGACAGACCATCGCGTCATTACAGAGGGATAAATCCAAATTTGTGGGTCTTGTAAATGCGGCAAGGAGCAAAGGGGAAAGGTAATAAAACTTGATCCTGATGCGCTTAGCCTCGTAGTAATATTGCCGCATGAGCCCCTCGCCTCTGACGGCTAAACGCGTGTCAGCCCCGCCAATCGCTTTGGAGTGACTGTGGGAGGCCCCATATATCGGGATATATTTAGAAACAGATATGATATTGTACCTACCTATACCGTTATATTGGCAATATAGTTGTGGAAAGATTTTTGTCTTTCACCATCCCACCTGCTTTCCTCTGCTTACAATGCAACACAACTAAAACAGAAGTTATTCTCTACTTTAGTTCATACCAGAGGTGTGATATTGTGGCATCATCAAGTCATCTCCATGTCATGTTTTTGTTCTGCTCAGCTACTGAACCAGGTTAATTCACTGCGCTGATTGAAATCCCCTGGTTTAATTGCTGAGCAGAACAAAAACATGAGAGAATTTTTTCAAGTTTATTTTCATTTATTCACAATTATAAACAAAACACAAAACAGGTTTGCGAAAACAAAAAATGAAAAAGGTGACGTGACACAATGCCACTCCTCTGGTCCACGCAGCTATTTTACGAGCAGAAATCACTTTAAAAGTCCAAACTGTATTCGCAATCCGTTACTAACATTGGAAAATATTAACTATTATCAAACTTTTAAATGAATTGCATCTGCTCACACCAAGGCAAATTACACAGCCGGTATACATAATGGCATAAACTGATGAGTTGTGTCTTTTTGACTCTAAATTATTTTGATTGACCAAATCTTTGTAAATTTTTTGTCGGTTATATTGATGAAATGGATTAACATTTTGTAAAGCTAAATGTGTTTAAATGTAAAATCCATTTAGCCTCCTGGATAATATGAAGTAAAATATGATAAAGT